TTTCTATGATTTATGATGTTTATTGACTTATGTATATTGAACCATCCCTGCATCTCTGGGATAAAGCCAACTTGATCATGGTGTATGATCTTTTTGATGTGTGTCTGTGTGTGGTTTGTAAGTATCTTGCTGATAATTTTTGCATCTATGTTCATTAAGGATATGGGTCTACAGTTTTCTTTTTTGGTTGTGTCTTTACCTGGCTTTGGTATGAGAGTGATGCTGGCTTCATAGAAGAAATTTGGAAGTTCTCCCTCCATTTCTATTTTTTTGAATAAATTAAGTAGTATTGGACGCAGATCTTCTTTAAATGTCTGACAGAATTCTGTTGTAAATCCATCTGGTCCTGGGCTTTTTTTAGTCAGAAGGTTTTGTATTACTGTTTCAATTTCTTTTTGTGTTATGTGTCTGTTTAAGCTTTTAATCTCTTTTTGGTTTAGTGGTTCCCATGCTGTTCGATATCCATCCATTTCTTTTAGATTTTCAAATTTAGTAGCATATGGGTTTTTAAAGTATTCCTTTTAATGTTCTGTATCTTTCTGGTGTCTGTTGTTATGTTTCCCCTTTCATCTCTGAATTTGTTGATTTGCAGGTGCTCTTTCTTTCTTTTGTTTAACTGGGCTAGCAGTCTATCAATCTTGTTTATCTTTTCAAAGAGCCAACTCTTGGAATTGTTGATTCTTTATATTGTTTTCTTTGTTTCAGTTTCATTAATTTCTGCCCTGATTTTTGTTATTTCTTCTTGTCTGCTGGGTTTGGGTTTCGTTTGCTGTTGCTTTTCAAGTGTGTTGAGTTGCAATGTTAAGGCATTTGTTTGTGTTCTTTCCGGTTTTTTGATGTAGGCACTTAGAGCTATAAACTTCCCTCTAAGGACCACTTTCAGTGTGTCCAGAGGTTTTGTCGTGTTGTATTATCCTTTTCATTTAATTCTAGGAATACTTTTATTTCTTGCTTAATTTCTCTTTTGACCCACTCATCATTCAGGAGTGTGTTGTTTAATCTCCATGTGTTCATGTGGTGATTAGGGCTTCTTTTGGTGTTGATTGTAACCTTTATTGCATTGTGATCTGATGGAATGAATGGAATTATTTTGATTTTTTTAATATTCATTGAGGTTTCTTTTGTGTCCTGAATGTGGTCAATTTTAGAGAAAGTTCCATGGGATGCTAAATAGAAAGTGTATTCTTTCGTGTTCAGGTAAAACATTTGGTAGATATCTGTTAGGTTCATTTGTTGCATAGTATCATTTAATTCAAATATCTCTCTATTCTTTTTATGGTTGTCCTGTCTATTGGAGACAGTGAGATACGGAAGTCACCTACTATTATTGAGTTGGGGTTAATCTGTGTCTTAAAGTGCTGTAGTACTGTTTTTTATGAAATTAGGTGAATCAGAGTTTGGTGATCTATGTTCATGATTGTAGTGTCTTCTTGGTCAGTTGTTCCATTGATCAGAATGAAGTGACCCTCTTTATCGCTTCTGAATAGTTTTAGTTTAAAGTCTATTTTGTCTGATATTAGAATTGTAACCCCTGCTTGTTTCTTAGTGTAATTTGCTTGGAATATTTTTTCCCATCCTTTCATCATAAGGTAGTGCTTATCCTTGAAGGTGAGATGAGTTTCTTGCAGACAAGAAAAAAGGTGAATTTTGTTTCTTAATCCATTCAATTAGCCTTTGTCTTTTGACTTGGGAGTTCAGGCCATTGATATTTAAAGTTATTATTGAAAGACATGTATTGGTTACCATCATTTCAGTTTCTGTTTGCATTCCTGGTCTAATTTTGTGTTTCCTCAGTTATACCTCCATTTAGTTTCTTTCTGTTGCCTCTTGAGTGTAGTTGTTCCTTTGGTCAGTCCTTTGTATTGCTTCAAGTATTTTCTGAAGGGCTGATTTGGTGGACATGAATTTTTTCAACCTATTCATGTCATGGAAGAAATTTCTTTTCCCTTCAACTCTAATAGACAGTTTTGCTGGGTAAAGTATTCTTGGTTGACATCTGTTGTCATTTGAAACCGGCAATATTTTGGTCCAGGCTCATCTGGCTTTCATAGTTTGCATTCAGTGTTATTCAACATGCCTGCAAATGTCAGAAGAGGGCATTGGATCCCCTGGAACTGGAGTAATGGGCAGTTGTTAGCCAGCATGTGGATGATGGGAATTGAACCTTGGTCCTCTGCAAGAGCAGCCAGTGCTCTTAACTACTGAGCCATCTGCAGCCCCTCTCTTTTGTGAATTCACTTTTCAAACCTAAATGCCCCATCTCCTCTCATATCCAACCCAACTTTCCTCCCCATCCAACTTCAAAAAAATTTTTTTTTAAAAAATTATTTTCTCCTCTGGTAGAGTGAATAGCAATTATCCAGCATTGTGAAGGCTAGTGCTTCCAGGTCAATACCAGCTTGATTTCTCCTCACTCTATGATTCAAGAATGTGGTGTTTTCAGCAATATGGTCTTACCATCATGTTCTGAATGGTAAACTAAAGCAACAGCAATAGCTTGTAGTATTTGGAGGCCTATAGGACCTCACTAGCTAACAATTCCAGAAGAAGTAAACCATTCCTGGCTCTGGGCTTTTTATGTCTTAGTCTCTGGTGTAGTAGGGGTATTGTTACCTGTTGTAGGGTAGCTCTAGTTGAACTATTTTTATCTTTGTATATCAGTATATTTTAGGAGGCTTCTACAGATATAGATTTCCATATGACATTTTCAAAAGGTCTTTAGGGCTAAATAGGTATTTTAATGCTTTGATTATTCTAGTCACTGCTTTAACTGTACCCTACAACTTTTGACATATTATTTTTTGTTATACATTCTTTGTAATTTATATTTTCACTTCAGTATTGACCTATGATTTATTTATAAATATGGAGTTTGACTTTTAACTAGTCAAGCATTTTCAAGGTATCTTTCCAATATCAATTTCTAATTTAGTTCAACTGTGGTCAAGCTATGTATATTGTATGACTTTTACATTTAATACAACATATTTTATGGCCCATAATATAGTCTATTTAATATATATTCCATATATTCTTGAGAACAATGTGCATTCCATAAGTGTCAGCCCAGTCAAGTTAGTATATTTGCTGAATTTTTATCTAATTATATTGCTGAACTTTTTGTTTCAATAAGTATTTATGAAGATACTTAAATAATAAGAAAAAATGCATGTTGGGACTGTTGTTTCATATGTCTTATTTTTATTTATGTTTAAAATTTTATGTGTATGAATGTTTTGCCTGCATGTGTAAGTGCACTACATGTATACAGTACCCATGGAGGCCAGAAGAAGACATCATATTCCCTGGACCTGGAGTTACAGATGATTGTTAGCCACCATGTAGGTACTAAGAACCAAACTCAGGTCTTCTGCAAGAACAGACAGGACTCTTAACCACTATGTCAGTTCTCCAGCCCCATATGTCTTATCATTTTTAAACTGGTTCAGACATGAATGTGAAGGTTGTCCCTTTTAGTTGATCTTGCTGATAATTAAACAAAAGAGATGGTAAACCTGGCATTACTTTCCAATCTTGTTTTGAAGAATATTTTATATTACTATTTGGATAAATATTGTCATTAATTTTCAAAATCTCATAAGCACTTTATTTTTTTCCAATCATTTGTCCAATATTTAGACACATTTTCCAAGCAAACAGTTCATTGGAGTTTAATAACAATTCATCATGTCTTTTGAGAAATAAAATATTCTCATAAAATTTAAGAGAATTCTTTAACATGTCTATAACTGTTTGAGAATCTATAATCTTTATGATTGATTTTACCTTAAAATGTAAATAACTTAATTTTTACTGTTGAGTCCAGTAGGAAAATTTAATTAAGCAACAGTTTGACTTTTTGGTAACTTTTAATTTTTCTGTAATTGCAAATATATAACAAGTCTTTAATAGAAGAAATTCCTGCATGATGCTGCTCTTGCTCATATTCTTCAATTGTTTTCATGTATGTGCTGAATTATTTCAGAGTACACCTTCAGACTTAATGTTGAAGAAGGAGTTGGGATTCCCAGCATACCTGTACATCCTATTGGATATAATGATGCAGAGATATTATTAAGGTATAGTCTTTTAGCTGGATATGAGAATAAGATATTTTGTTTCAGCATGTCCAGTTTCTGACCTGTAAGCCACAGATGAAATTCTCATATGCAAGACTTTGTCCAAAGATAAAAATGAACATTGATTTGTGATATAGCACTTGGATTTCCTTCATTATTTATTTATCTATGGTATAAAAATGTAATCATTCTAGTTGAGCATGGTGGCACATACCTGTAGTCCTAGCACTTGGGAGGCAGAGGCAGGCATGTCTCTGTGAGTTCAAGGCCAGCTTGGTCTACATAGTGAGTTCCAGGTCAGCTGGGAATACAGGGAAACCCTGTTTCAAGAAGACCCCCCCCAAATGTGATCATTCTGGCCACTAAATATGTGACCTTGGACCAGTTACATAATGACTGTATAATTCAACTTCCTTATCTGTAAAATGAGGACAATAATACTTCTCTCCAAACCACAGCAATGAGCATTGTCTAGAATATGGTGACCATTCAGTTAATGTTTGTCATTATTGTATTCAATATTTCATTATGTATCTTCCAACTTCCATTTTCTAAATGTCTGTATGAGACCAACTTAATAATTGCTTTATGGGGGCCTCCTAATCAGTAGTTTCTTTAAAACTTAATTTCTTCTTAACACAGTTATGAATTTGCTCTTCTTTAGACGTCTTGGACTTCCTGCTTCTCCAACTGCATAACTAAGATCAAGCATGAGGAGGCTATTGCCTCCCACCCACCATCAGGGTTTTTTTCCTCCTCACCTCTATAACTAACATGTTATATGTTTCCTATTTGTCTAGGCTATAACTCTGTTAATAATGCAAACTCCACAATTCTAGGGATTTTTGAGAGTCTGTTCTGTAAATAGTTCTTACATATTCAATGATATATTACCTCACCATCAAACTCATGATTTCTTTTTGGGAAGTGATGATCAACCTTTTTCTGCTGTTTAATTTTTTCTTGATAGCCACTTGGGAGGAACTGCTCCACCAGATGAGAGCTGGAAGGGAACTCTAAATGTTAGTTACAATATTGGACCTGGCTTTATAGGAAGTGACTATTCCAGGTAATTTTTTGATAGTTTAATATCCAGGGAAAGTTTTCTGTTGTATCAGGAAAATGTTAAGAAAAATATTCTTCCAGGTTAAGGGTTTTTCTTTCCTTTATCTTTGTTACTAGTGAACATCTGATTATTTTGAGTCAATCACCTCAGAAGCAATTACAGAAAGAACTATTGAATTCTTCCAGTGGTGACATCATTAATATTAGTTTAACAATTACTATTTTTGTGTTATAGGCTTATAAATTTCAAGCTTTGTTTTTTTTTAAAGTTCCATTTTCAACTCAAGTTTTAAATCGGTTTTTCATTAACATTTAAAATGGAAGAAGGTAAAGAAGCAGAGAGAAAGGAACTGTCAGCTATTTATCATTTACTCTGTGGGTTAAGTGACTTAAAATGGGAAAAACATACTAGGTATTACAAGCCTTAATAGAGATATTGTAATAATTTGTATTATTTTAATGCATTAACACACTATTGGAGAGGAATGATCTTATGTTTGCTGAGCAGAGCCTTACAGTGAGATTTCTACTGTGTGAAGTTTTGAATACATTAACACAGGATTATAGAGGAGTGGTCATGTGTGTCAGCTGAGCTGAGCCTTACAGAAAGAGTTTTCCACTGTGTGAGAGAAGGTAGGAAATGGTCTGAACTTCAAAAAGTTTTATTTACCTGAAAGACTTTGTCTGATAAATCAGAAAACTGTAGCTATTTTCTATTAAACTAAAAAATTTCAGTCTAGTTTGCTAGTGGTTTACCTTAACTATGTGAACTTTGATGTTTAGCATATGGTTTTGTTCCTAAAATTTGTTTTGTTTCAAAATAGTTAAAGCAGAAGTTCAGTTTCCTTATTTTAATAGGAGCTTTAGAATATTCAGTTTACCAAAGAACTTATTTATCTTCATAACTCAATCAAAACAGAATTCCTTTGATTTAAGAAACATTGAATTTACTTATACTCTTCAGAGGAAGGAAAGGATAGGATAGATAAAGGCTTTTTTTATGTACAAGCAGAAGCAAACAGACATGGGGAAAATACAAAAGTTTAGTTCTATAATTTGTCTGAATTTAAGAGTGAACTCAGGGGACTGTAAAGATGATGGTTAAGAGCAGAGCACTTGCTCCTCTATCATGAGACCTGGAGTTTGGATCCCAGTACCCAAATCAGTTGGCTCACAATTGCCTGTTACTCTGGATCTAGGGGATCTAATACCCTCTTCTGGCCTCCATGGGCACCTGCACACACATGAACATACACACACACACATACATGTAAGTAAAAATAAAATAAATGTTCTTTTGAAAGGGAGAGTAGCTGGGTGTGGTGGTACATGCCTGTAGTCCCAGCACTTGGGAGGCAGAGACAGGCAGATCTTTATGAGTTTGAGGTCAGCCTGGTCTACATAATGAGTTCCAGGCCAACTGGAGCTACAGGGAGACCCTGTTTCAATAAAACAAAACAAAACAAAAAAGTGTGTGTGTGTGTGTGTGTGTGTGTGTGTGTGTGTGCGCGCGGAGGGGGGTGGGTAAACTCAAAAAGCATAAGAAGTTTTGTGTCTAGGGTTTCGATATTCAAAAATTATTCTCTTTCATCATGGTGATTTGTGTTCAAAATGAACAGATATACAATCATTAATAGCACTGAAAATCCTAAAAGATTCTCTTTTCTCTTTCACCTCACAGAAATTCTGATAATTTATTAATCTATTTAGAGAGACTATCAAATGGCAAGACATAAAGCCAAGTTCCCATATTGCTGGCATCAGTTAAGAATAACTTGTTCTACCCTAAGCAAAATGGAAATATAAATAAAACACAAAGTCTGTAGAGAAAAATTGAAACTAGATATATAGATATCTAAAAGGTGTGGAAAATGGATTTTTACTGCCCATATTAATTCTGCAAGATGAAACTCTGGTACATCTTAGAGAAACCTCCAAGCTGAAAAGGATAATTTAAAAGGATGATTGTAGAACAGACATGAAATGAGCAGGTACTGTAGATTTCATTAAACTTATTATTTAACAAAGAAGCCAGGTATGGTGTTAAAACTGGTTCAAAGGAATGTTCAAATAGATGTAAAATTAATCAGCTCATTATTATTGTCACAATGGACATGATAGCAACAAAGCTGGCTTCCGTCTATATTGGGAAGTCTTTTAAGTGAATGTATACTAAATCACACTCCATTGTGAATTATTTGTGTCACTATTATGTTTTTTCATGTTGGTTTCTGGCTCTACAAAGAGATATAAAATATTCTAGTGAAAGAATAAAATGAAACAAAGACAGAAGGGACTCTGATGAACAGATTGTGTGTTTCAAAGACTTTAGGGCAGAATCTTCACTTACCATTATATGAACTTTGGCAGCTGATTAGTACCTCCCTTCAAATATAATCACAAATAACAAATGATGGGTCACTCTGTCTCCAAAATGAACAAAGCCTTCTTTGTCCTCTTGAGAAAAACTGAATCAGTATTTACCCATGTTATTCTGGGATTCATAAAACATGCATGGCAGGGGCTGGAGAGACGACTTGGTGATTAAGAGCACTAACTACTCTTTCAGAGGACCCAGGTTTGATTTCAAGCATATTGCAGCTGACAACCATCTGTAACTTCAGTTCCAGGAGATCTGACACACTCTTCCAATCTTCCTTGTTATTTCATGCAAGCGGTACACTTACATACTTTCAGGGAAAACACTGATACACATTTTGAAAATCTTTTTAAAGAGGTGCATGGCATTTGGTATGGGGGAGTCTGGCTGAGCTTTCTTAAATTTACTGTTACTTTCTTAGTGGGGTAATTCTAATCATGAATGAGTGTTGAATCCAGGCCCAAATCAAAATAAACAAGAATGGCCTGGGAAAGTTTCATTTTGTAGCTATACACATTTTCCCAAATTCTCACTTAACAATAGAATTTGCTAAATTCTTTAGGCAGTGCTCAGGCTGATTTTTGGCAATATACTTATAGATCGTTTCCATAGTCCAAAAGAAAGTTAATGAACAGCAAGAAGTACCAAAACATAGTTGTGTGTCACTTATCAGGGAGATATATTTTAAGAAATGTATTATTTTTGGAACAGCAGAGTATACTTATACACACTTAGATGATTTAATCAGTCACTGGATGTGGCCTCTTGATGCAATCAAGAGGTGCTATAAACAAAAGAATGAGACCATTGCTGGCTTACTATGCCATTTTGTCTTATAGTAAACTCCAAGTGAACAATAAAAGTACAGTATGTATTGTACATAATTGCATTGCTCTACATTTGTATGACTGACAATACGTTTGCATATATATATATATCACCACAAATATACATTATACTATGAACATCACAGCAGCTACAATATCAACAGAAGTTTTTAGCTCTCCATAGTCTTAGGGGACTTCTATCATATATGGGATCTAGTATTGATTAACACATCATTATGAAGTACATAGCTTTATAAAGACATATGCTCAAACAGGCTTATATTTTTAATTTATTAAATAACTGTCTTCCTTTTGTGGTAAGATTATAAAGTTTTAAAAATACCTAAGAAGCTGAAGAGATGCCTCAGTGGTTAAGAACACTGGCTGTTCTTGCTGAGGACCCAGGTTCAGTTCCCAGCAACCGCATGGCAAATAACAACTCTCCATAATTACGGTTTCAAGGGATCTGATGTCTTCTTCTGACTTCTGTGAGCACTGCACAACATGGGTGCACTTATGTACATGCAGGCAGTGCACTCATACATATAAAATAAAAATAATAAATTTTTAAAAAAATTAATATGACATTTAATAGAATAATTTGAGTTAGAAATAAGTATCAATAATACAGTTATGAGGAAGGAAGAATATAAAATATTGGTTTTTACAATTTGACTTTAAGGCACATGCTTAAATATATGGGAATAAATTGTCATGATGCTTTGCAAATGGCTCAAATAAACCTAAAAATTATTGACTTTAGGTGACAGAGATATGAGAATTTATTGTCCTGTTGTATAATTTTCTGAACCTTGAAATTGTTCATAATAAAGATAATGTGCAACATGAAATAACTTTTTTTAAAAATTCTAGGAAAGTGAGAATGCATGTTAATAACATCAATAAAATCACAAGAATTTACAATGTAATTGGAACTATCAGAGGATCTATAGAACCTGGTGAGTCATTGAATTAAAAAAAAATTTCGTTTTTACAAAGATTTTTAAGAGGATGAAATCCAATCAATAACTGATATTTTTCTGACTTGTTTGAAACTATAAAATTCAGGGAGAAGGTGATAATCTAAAATATTTTACTTTACAGTGTTGGTTGTTTTCTGTGGAGAAAACTCAAGGGAAATATTAATTTAAATATGAAAATGACAAATACCTATAATGTATGCAGAGTGAAGTTCTTTGAACTGTTTCTTGTTCAGACAGGTATGTCATTCTGGGAGGTCATCGTGACTCATGGGTGTTTGGAGGTATTGACCCAACCACTGGAACTGCAGTTTTGCAAGAAATTGCCCAAAGTTTTGGAAAACTGATAAGTGGAGGTAACTAACACTTCTTTGATAGCTGCTGACCAAAAGTGACTTGCTTAATTTTCCTGTATCTATAGCAGGTGTACCTAACTATGTACATTATCATGATTACAGGCTGGAGACCTAGGAGAACTATCATTTTTGCTAGCTGGGATGCAGAAGAGTTTGGGTTACTGGGTTCAACGGAATGGGCTGAGGTAAATACCAAGGAAGGTGGCTTATATTATTTTCTTGGTCAATTAATGGAGAATTACTCAAGAGAATTTAAGACAGAATATTTTTTTAATTCTCACATCAGTTTCACAAAGCAGAATAGCTTCTTGGGCTTAACACTATTCATTATCAAAATATTTCAGTTTTCTTCTGTATTTATTTTGTGAAAAAATCAGTAAACTAAGAAAATAATCAGAATCTACAAGCTGTGTTTTGTTTTACTTTTACAACAGTTGTGTGCTTTAAATCTAAAATTATAATACTGTAAATTGAATTACTTTATTAGAGTAACTTACCTTATAATTTCTTAGTGTCTTTTGCTCTCTTTCAAATAAGACTGGTTTTTGTCTATGGGTTCTTAATTCTTTAAGCGTTTCTCCTGAGCCCATTTCTTTCTTTTTCTGTGTGCTATTCTACTGGTAACATTTGGGTTCGTACATATTTAAGGTGACCATACACATTTTTAGTCATGGTAGATATGCTATGTGAGTACTTGCTTTCTTGCTGACATCTGTTTATCATTTATAAGTCCAGATTTTATTTACAAGCTCTAAAGTGTAGCATATGTCTGTGTATAGAGTAAAAAAGTGCCTTCCTGACTAATTTTCTCTTACATTACTGCAAAATAATAATATGAAGCAAAATTTCATATAGTTAATTGTCCAATACCACTTATTCTTTGTTGTTTATATTTACATTATACATTTTAATTTTATACTAATATTATAAATATGCAATTTGGAAATAGAACATTAATTTAGATGTACCAAATATTATTAAGGTCATTTTTTTAGAGTTTGTAATTTCTGGTAATACATGCATACATAAATATATATTTTTAATTTCAGAAATTAAAATAAGGCTCAAATCTAAGATTTAGAATAATAAATACAAATTTGCATTAATTGCTGCACATGTGGATTTAGAAACAATTTCAACATTTGTCTTAGTTTTATACAAGATTCTTTATCATATTCAGCAACATAATTTCTATAAAAGCACCAAAGTGGATGCGTGTGAGGGCATACAATTTTAATTACAGCACTCAGGAGGCAGAGGCAGGCAAATCACTACAAGTTCCAGGTCATCCAGGGCTACACAGTGAGACCCTGTGTCAAACAAACAAACAAAAACCTAGTAAGGCATTTTCTTAGTTTCTACTGCAAATATTGTGATAGAGATTCTGACTCTATAATCAAGACAACTCTATTAGTTACAGTTCTTGTTGCTGGGACAAAATACCTGACAAAAAAGCAACTCAAAGCAGAAAAGGTTTATTTTGGCCCATAGTTCAAAGAAACAGTCCAACATGATAGAAGTCATGATGGTAGCTCTGTGGAGGCACCTGGTTGCATTATATCCACTATCTGTAAGCTGAGAGAGATGAATGCCTGTGCTCTGCTTGCTTTCATCTTTTTATACAACCCAGGACCCCAACCCATAGAATGGACTTTTTATTCTTTATTTTATTATTTATATAAATATATATGATGTATTTTTATTTTATATGTATGACTGTTATGCCTGCATGTGTGTAAGTATACCCATATCACCCAGTGCCTGCAGAGGACTGAAGAGGGCATCACCATCCCCTGGAACTGGAGTTATGAACAGTTGTTAGCTGCCATGTGGGTGCTGGGATTCAAATCCAGGCCCTCTGCAAGAACAGCCAGTGCTCTTAACTGCTGAACCATCTTGCCAGCCCCTGTTTTCATAAATATAGATAAATGAACATTTTCTACTTTTCTTAGACTGTACTTGGGTATCCCCTTGGTAGTAGATCTCAAATTTCAGTGAATATATGGATCTGCCACCATGGACACCTGCTGGAAAGTACAGATTTCATCCCTCACTTTGAACAGTTCTGATTCAGTAGATCTAGGCTAGGACCTCCAAATTTTGAAACCTCATCTCAGCATATTCTGACATAGATGCATAGAATCAAGAAAGCACACTTAAAAATATCTTTTCTTTGGGGATTTACAGTTTTAGTATATGGCTTCATAATATGCTTTTTTTCTTGTTTAATTGCATTAATGCCATCAATCAAGCAGTTATCAGAATTCTCTTTAACTCTGTGGTCACAGGTAGGCATATTTGATTTATAAAGTATTGGGAAACCACTTTTCCATAAAATTGCTATGGTTATTTAGTTTATATTTTCACGATAGTAAATCCTGTGAACTAACAACTTTGCCTTACAGGAGAATGCAAAAATGCTACAGGAGAGAAGCATTGCTTATATCAATTCAGATTCCTCTATAGAAGGTAAATTTTATTTCTAATTGAAATAGAATTTTCAGAAAGTAAATTTTATTTTTAGTTCTAGTTAGTATATTATCTTTTTGTTGTTTGGTTTATTTATTTTTTTCTTGAGATAGTGTTTCATGGCTGGCTTAAGCTGGCTTTATTGGCAACAATGCTCTTGAACCCCCGATACTCCTGCTTCCACCCCAATGCTAGCCTTACAGGCATGCACCACGGCACCTGGCAATTTCTTCAGTTCCTATTGTTTTCTTAAGTTTATAGATTCTAACTTATTGGCTCAGATCTTTTGTTCAAATGAGATTACTCAGTAATAACTTAATTTTTTTTTATTTTACCACATGAAAAACAATAGTCATATTAATATGAAAGACAACTGAGCTATTTTTGCTATGTTTAGGTTTGGTATATATGCACCCACCTTTGATTACTACTTAAATCCCTAATATTCACCACATTATTCCTATGGAGATATTTTAAAAATGGCTCAAATATTTCAGAAGAAATACTTTATAGAATCTCATACAGAAATATTTTCTATATTAAAAATTTTCTTGAAAAATAAGTAAAGAAATATTTTATTCATTTATTGAAACTTCCTTTTGAGTTTGACACATGATATTTGTCTCAAGGTTTCTGTGTATTTTTGATTGTTTATTGTTCCTGATGGGTGTCATAACATGCATTCTTCTAATGTATTGAGCTACAGTGCTGAATTGATTGAAAAATGAAAAATAAATTCTGTAGTATTTTGGTTTGGCTTGGTTTTGGTTTTGGTTTGTATTTTGAGACATGGACTCCCTGTAGCCCCAGCTAGCCTGGAATTTTAAATGTAGACCAGGTTGGCCTCCATCTCATAGAGATCCCCCCGTCTCTGCTTCCTGAGTCCTGGGATTAAAGACATGGGCCACCATCCCTAGCAGTTCTGTAGTCTTAATGTTTTCATTGACAGTGATTCAGAGATGCTGCCATGAGGATGGTGGACGGATGACTATGGGAGCTGCCACCTCAGCCACCAAAGGCCACCATTTCTTCATCATTTGAAATTGTGTACTTTGACTTCTCTCCTTCCTGAGGAGCAATTTTGGTTTAAAGACTTATACTTAAAATAGAAAGCTAGAATTAAATATAAATGGAATTTCATTTGGAAGTATGAAATAATACCTTTTGTGTTTGGTTTATTCTTCAGGCAATTACACTCTCCGAGTTGACTGTACTCCTCTACTTTACCAATTGGTATATAAAGTGGCAAGAGAGGTAACCAGGATGTCTGTCTTACTGTTTTATCATGATGGATAATGATAGTTCACCTAAATCAGCAGCATTTATTTAAAAACAGAACATTATTGACTTGTACAAATAGCAACTAAAACAAACTTTGCAAAACACAATTTACTACACAGCACAATTGTGTAGATGATAATAAGGTGTGTAAAATAAGTCAGCAATTCAGAAATCTGGCAATGGAGAGATCATTGGACTTTCTAACCAGGTGGTTCACTGTATGCCAGGGTAGTAAGTGGAATATACAGTGGTTAGTCCAAAAGAAAACAGGAAGGATGACTATGGCTGCTGATCACACAGGAATGCTATAAATATTAAATGAACTATATACATGAAATACTCTGAGAACTAAAGCACATAGAATTCTAAAATAATTATATAATGTATTCACAATATCTGCATACTTCATTTGAGATATTCCCAATTGTGGAATTTACTTGCAGAAATGTTTACTCCAGAGTCAGCCTAGTGAACAGTATGAGTGTCACTTTAATACAGGTACTATTCCCTAATCTTTAATCTTGCCCCTCTTGTCAGTTTACTGTTGATGTCTCTAAAAACAGTTCTTCCTAAAGAGAGTACTGTTATAAAAAGAACAATCCCTCCAGCATTGTTCTTTTTACTCAGTATTACTTGGCTATCCACAGTCTTTTTTGTGTCTCCATATGAATTTTAGGTCTTTTTTTTCTCATTTCTGTGAAAAATGTCATAGGAGTTTTGATTGGGATTTCATTGAATCTGTACGTTGCTTTTGGTAAAATGGTCATTTTCACAACATTAATTCTATGAAGCCATGTCTTTCTATCTTCTAGTGTCTTTCCCAATCTCTTTCTTCAAAAATTTAGTTTTTATTGCAAAGGTCATTTACCTCTTTGTTTAGGTTTATTCCTGGATATATTTTGAGGCTGTTGTGAATGGGAGTGTTTCCATGATCTCTTTTTGCTTGTCATTGATATATAGAAAAGCTACTGCTTTTTGGAACTGATTATATATCCTGCCACTTTGCTGAAAGTATTGATTGCTTCTCAAAGCTTTCTGGTTGAATTTTTGGGATCTTTTATGTATTATCTATCATCTTCAAAGAGGGATAATTTGAAATTTTTCCCTAATAGTCTCCTCTTAATTTCCTTCTCTTTCTTATTGTCCTAGCTATGGCTTCAATCACCTATTAAAAAGGAGTGGAGATAATAGACAGCCCCGTCTCCTTCCCGGTTGTTTGGAACGATGGTGGTGGTGGGTTTGTCATTTAATAGCCTTTATTATGTTGAGGTGTGTTCCCTCCAGTCCTGTTCTCTTTAAGACTTTTATCATGAAGGTATGTTGGATTTTTGACAAAGGCCTTTTCTGAATTTTTTGAGATAATTGTGATTTTTTAAAGTACACATATATGATTTATTACATTTATTGACTTATGTATATTGAACCATCTCTGTGTCTCTGGGATAAAGTGAACTTGATCATGGTAGGCAGTCTTTTTGATATATGTGGTTTTCAAATATTTTATTGAGTTTTTGCGTCTAGGTTTATCAGTGATACTGGTCTGTAGTTTTCTTTTATTCTTGTATCTTTACCTGACTTCGGTATTAGAGCAATTGGTTTTCTAGAAGGAGTTTCGAAGTGCCACCTCTCTATTTTTAAAAATAATTTGTGGAGTATTGATTAGTTATTCTTTGATGGTTTGGTCGAATTTTGCTGTGAATCCATCTGGACCTAGGTTATTTTTAGTCAGAAGGCTTTGTGTTACTATTTTAACCTCATTTTTTTGTTATGAATCTGTTTTAGTTGTTTATCTCTTCTTGGTTTAACTTTGGTGATTGGAAAAAAAACCTAGAAATTCATCCATTTCTTTTAGGTTATCTAACAATGGAGTATAGGTTTTTAAGGTATTCTTTATAAAAATGTTCTGTTTCTTTGGTGTCTGCTATGCTTGTCTGTTCTCTGATTCTATTGATTTTTGTTTCTTCTTTCTTTTGGTTAATAAGGCTAAATAAAAGTACTGTAATTTATTTCTTCACAGTATTCTTCCTTTCTTGAATACCTTATTCCCTTGATCTTTTATTGGAAGGCCCCATAAAAGCATCTTACCTAAGAGCAAGTTGCAAAGAGAACCTTTATTTGGAGAATTCTTCAGAATGTTCATTTATGGTCTGTGTTGCCCTAGAAAGAATATTTCTGCCATTGATATCAGGGATGATAAGAGTTTTGGAACCAGTAGGTAGAAGTTTGGGTTTTCACCATTTGTGCAAAGGTACATGTTTGTTATTTATGGTCATACAAAGACCCTGAAGACTAAAGTGGCTCCTTCACCTTCCTTTAAACCGATTATTAAAATGTTTACAATCCTTAGTGAGTCAAACAAATCAAGGTGGTAACAGGAGTGGCAGGAGGGTGAAAGGCAAGTAGTTGTGTGACTGAACAAGAAATCTGACAAGGTGTTGCTAGACTACAGAGATTGACAGTGCATCTGGTAGAAGCAGTTAAGATTGGTCTGCATGGTATAGGGTGGGATGTGGCACAGTTCAGCACTTAATTGATGATTATGACTCCAGGAAATGAAGATGATGATTCTTGGAATTTAATCCAAGGAGAATATAGAAACTGCCACAAGGTCTCAGTCATGGCAAACTGGCAGGAACAGAGTAGAAAGTGGAAGCCAGTCAGTGCTCTTAGCTGCTGAGCTTTCTCTCCAGCCCTGCATTCTCTTTTTCTTTATACCCATATTTTTACTTTTCTTGCTTACTTGGATTAAAACTGTTTTTAATATTTTTAGTGTTTGAGGATTTTATTGTGTATTTTTATCATATTTATATACCTCCAATTTTTCCTCACTCCACCCCCACCACCCTACATATCCACTTTGTGTCTTTTTTTTAAAACACATTTAATCCAATTTGTGTTACCTAAATATTCTTGAGTGTGGAGCCTGCCCTGGAGTGTGGTCCACCCAGACATGGTCACGCCCTTAAAGAAAACTGACTTTTCTTCTCCCATCAGCTATTAAATGTCAACAGCTCCTCAGCTAGGGGGTAGGACTTTGTGCCCACTGCCCCCCATGCTGGGAATCGCTCTAACCCTCTTTAGAGAAGATACCTGAGCCTAGGTGGGGAGGGGTGTGATATAGGTGTTCCATTTAGGGCTGAGCACTCTGAATTCTCTTATTCTCTGCACATTAGCTGTGGGTCTTTGTGTTAATTGCCTTCTACTGAAAGAAAAAGCTTTTCTGGTGAGTTGAGAGATGCATTCATCTATGGATATAGCAATGTCTTGAGGAGTCAGTTTAATAATATGTCCATTTAGCAGAATATTAGTAGAAGGTTCTTTCCTAAGGCCCATGACCTGTCTAACCACAGATTTTTAGCCCCAGTAACAGAGCCAGGAATGAGTTTCATCTTGTGGAGCATGTCTTAACTCCAATCAGACAGTTATTTGGTTACTACCATGAAATTTGCATCACTATTGCACCAGTGGGTATAAGTTTCCAGGCCAGTCATTATTGTAGTTTGCAGGGTTCACAGCTTATTCCATTTCTCCTTCACAACAGTCTTACAGCACTATGAAGGATAGTGAGTAGGCATGAAGCTTATAGGTCAGTACCAGCTTGATTTCTTCATGTTCTATGACTCACATATATGGTGTTGGCTTCTTTGGCTTTGCTAGCAGAGTAACACTGGATTAATAAAAAGATTTTGGAAGTATCCCTTCCTATTCTATTTTACAGAATAATTTGAGAAATATTGATGTTAGTTCTTTTTTTAAGGTCTGATAGAATTCTGCTCTCTATCCATCTGGTCCTGAGGTGTTTTAGTTGGGAGATGTTTAATTATTGCTTTTATAGGTTGTTATGGGTCTGTTTAAGTTATTTACTTCATCTTGATTTAATTTTGGTAAGTCATAGAAATTCATCAATTTATTTTTGACTTTCCAGTTTAGTGGAATATAGATTTAAAAGAAACGTTTCATCAATTCTTTGAGAATTTCATTTATATATTTGATCACATTCAGATCCCCATCCCCATTTCCACAACTAACTTATTAAATATAGATTTTAAAAATATGTCCTTATAGTTCTCTGAATTTCCTCTCTTGCAATGTTTCTCTTTTCATCTCTGATTTTATTAGAGTCCCCTATCTTTCTTTCTTTTGGTTAATTTGGCTAAATGTTTATCAACCTTTAATATTTTCAAAGGAAAAACTCTGTTTCATTGATTCTTTTTATTGGTTTTTAAATTTATATTTCATTAATTTCAGCCATTATTTTGTTTTCCTATCTACTCTTCTTTTAAAAAATTATTTGATGTTGTGTGTTATGAGTGTTTTGTAGATGCATCATGTGCATGTAATGCTTGCAGAGGTCAGAAGAGGAGATTCCTTGGAATTAGAGTTATGGGTAGTTGTTAGCCACCACGTGGGTGCTGTGAACAAAGCCTGGGTCTTCTGCAAGAGCAACCAGTGCCCTTAGCTATTGAGTCATACCTCTAGGCCTCTTTCCATCCCATTCTATTCTTTTTGAGTGTTGTTTGTTCTTATATTTTCAGGGCTTTCAGGTACATTGTTAAGTTACTAATATGAGAGCTCTTCAGTTTCTGATATAGGCACTTAGTGCTATAAACTTTCCTCTTAGTACTATCTTTCATTGTGTCCTTAGATTTTTGGTAGGATATGTTTTAATTTTCATTCAATTCTAGGGATTTTTTTTATCATTTTTATTATTTTATGTGTATGAGTGTAATGTCTGCATGTATGTAAGTGCATCTGTGTTGTGCAATGCCTGTTAAGGTCAGAAGAGGGCGTTGGATCCCCTGGAACTGGAGTTATGGATGGTTGTTAGTACCACATGGGTGCTGGAAACTGAACCCGGGTCTTCTGCAAGAGCAGCCATTGCTCTTAACTGTTGAGCCATCTCTCCAGACTCACTTCTAGGGATTTTTAATTTTCAGTCAGTAGTGTGTTGTTTAGTTTCCATGAGATTATCTACTTTCTCTTATTTCTAGTGTTGTTATTATCCAGCTCTATTATTTTGGGCCAGATAGAATAAAAGATGTTATTTCATTTTTCTAAATATGCTGAGACTTACTTTGTGTCCTGATAAGTGGTCAGTTTTGGAGAAAGTTCCAAGGCTGCTGAGAAGAGAGGGTATTCTTTAGTGTTTGGGTGGGATGTTCTGAAAATGTCTGTTTGAGCCATTGGATTTATGATGTCATATAACTCCAGAAATTCTCTGTTTACTCTGTCTGGATGACCTTTCAATTGGTGAGAATGGGGTACTGAAGCCACCTACTCTTACTGTGTTGGGGTCGATATGTAGTTTTCAGTCTAATAGTATTTCTTTTATGAAGTTGGGTGCCCCTATATTTGGTGCATAAATGTTTAGAATTATAATATCCTCTTGGCTGATTCGTCTTTTAATGAGTATGAGGTGTATTTCCTCATCCCTTCTGATAGTATTTGTTTGAAGCCTATTTTGTCAGATATTAGGATAGCTATTCTTGCTTATTTTTTAAAAATATTTTATTTATTATTTTTATTTTATGTGTGTGTTATGCCTGCACGTTAAGTAAGTGCATGACCCGTGTCATGCAATGCCCATGGACGACAAAAGAGACTGTCAGATCCCCTGGAACTGGAGTTATGGACAGTTGTTAGCTGCCATGTGGGTGCTGGGATTCAAACCCTGGTCTTCTGCAAGAATAGTCAGTGTTCTTAACCACTGAGCCACCTCTCCAGCCCCTCTTGCTTATCTTTTTATTCCTTTCCTTTGGAATATTTTTTCAACATTTTTACCTTAAGGTTGTGTCTGTCATTGATGGTTACGTGTGTTTCTTAGAGGTAGAAAAACAGATGAATCCTGTTTTCTAATGTAGTCCATTAGTCTGTGCTTATTGGAAAATTAAGACCATTAATATTGAGAATTATTATTGAACAATGTGTATTATTCCCTGTCATTTTGTTGTTGTGATGGTATGTTCTTAGAACTCTTTTAGTTAATTGTTCTGAATTATTTATTCCTTGTGCACTCTTTGGGTGTGTTTAATCTTTTTTCAGGCTGAAGTATTTCTTCCTGTATCCTCTGTAGATCTGGCTTAGTAGACATAAATTCCTTAAATCTGTTTTTATCTGGAAGATTTTCTTTCTCCTGCAATTATGACTGATATTTTTGCTGTGCTGGCATCTGTGTTCTCTTACAACTTGCAGGACATTGTTCCAATCACTTCTGGTTTTTGCGGTCTTTGAAAAGAACCAGCTGTAATTCTGATGGGCCTGCCTTTATATGTGACTTGATCTTTCAGCATCAATAAGATCTTCCTATTAAGTTCTGGTGGGCAATCAAGAGCATTAACCTGTGTCATTTTGGGCTTTTGGGGGCTTTCCTAATCAAAAACTCAGGGAGATATGCCACACTTGGCATTTGGATTTTTCTTTTGATCAATTATGATCAAAAGGGATTGGCATTATTCACCATATAGGGTATCTTTGTTAAAACTCTCTTTTTAAAAATATTTATTTAGTCTCTCTCTCTCTCTCTCTCTCTCTCTCTCTCTCTCTCTCTCTCTGCACACTAACACATATGATGGTATGTGTGGAGGTCAGAGGACAATATGCAGGAGTCAGTTTTCTTCTTCCACCAAGTGAGCTCTGGGGATTGAATTCAGGTTTCCATATATCTTCTTACATTCTTAATGCTGACTAACCCTCCCCCTCCCTTTCTTTAAATCTTACTTAGTTCCACCTCCTACTTTTTTCCACATCTGCAGGCCTCACTTTATCCCCATCGACCCTTTTTAGCTTCCTGTCTACAGACATTCCAAGTTAAAAACAAAAATTAATTGAAATCCATGATCCATATATAATAGAGAACATATGGCATTTGTCTTTCTTGGCCTGAGTTACCTCAGTCAGTATAAATTTTTCCAGTCTATCCATTTTCCTAAATTTCATCTTAATTTACTGATAAATGGAATTTCCTTGTATGAGTGTCTCACATTTTCATTATTTGTTCTTCAGTTGATGGATATCTAAGTTGATTCCATCTCCTAGTTTTTGTGAGGAAGGCAGCAATGAATATGGATGTACAAAATGTCTACTGTATGATTCTTTGGAATATGCCCAGGAGTGGTATAACTGAGCCATATGGCATATCTATTTTTAGCATTTTGAGGAATTTTCTCACTGATTTTTAGTAACTCTAGCAGTTTGTACTCCCACCAACAGTGTATAAGTGTTCTCATTTGCTCACATCCTTGCCAGTCCATAAAAAATCCAGCTTTGTTTAAGTATAATTTTTAGAAATATTTTATTTATCATATTTTATGTGAATGAGTGTATTGCCTGCATGTGTGTAAGTGCATACATGTGGTGCCATGCCTGTGGAGGTAAGAAGAGGGCATCAGATCCCTTGGAACTGGAGTTATAGATGGTTGTTAGATGCCATGTGGGTGCCATGACTCAAACCTGGGTCTTCTGCAAGAGTAGACAGTGCTTTTAACCACTGAGCAATCTCTCCAGCCTCCATAAATATAATTAAAAAAAATAATGGTGCTCACTCCTACTTCCTCCTTTCTCAACAAAAGTCAGATGTATGGGACAATTTCAAGTTCAGCTTCCTGGCCTATATTACTTCTGCTGCCCTGAGGCCAACTTGTAGGTCTTCTTGGATAAAAGCAACTTATTAAAGAAAAGATTATATCTACATTTTCCCCTGAAACAAATCTAAGGTGCCAAATTTGAAAATTTTATTTGAAATTTTATCAATAAAATCAGGAAATTTCTTTTTAGATAATTGACAAAATTACCAACAGGTAGTCTTCATAAATGAACCAGAAGTTGGATTAGATTTTATCTTATCAGTTGCACAATATACATTTTTTTTCTATAAATGAACATGGCACATATGTGAACACACAGATAGCAGCGGAGGTTGGTGCAAATGTGCAAAATGTGCATATTAGATTTGCATTGCCTTCAGCCCCTAATCCCCAGTGTTTGATTTGTTTCTGTAGATATCCAGCCCTGATGATGGTTTTGAGAGTAGATCACTTTATGAAAGCTGGTTAGAAAAAGATCCTTCACCTGAAAACAAAGATTATCCTAGGTAAATTACTATGTAAACTTTTCTTTTTAAAGATTATTATTTTATTTTATGTGTATGAGCGTTACTTTTCCATGTATGAAAGTGTACCATGAGTGTGCAATGCCCATTGAGTCCAGAGAGGGCATCAGATCCCATGGAACTGGTGTTACATCCAGTTGTTAGCCACCATGAGGGTACTGGTCTTCTGTAAGAACAGTTAGTGCTCTTAACTTCTAAGCTATTTCTCCAGCCTCTATGTACATTTTTTTTACCATGGAACAAATTATGGATTTCCCTTTGACCTTGCTTCTCCAAACATGTGATTCTTGGATATTTCATCAATAATTTAGATACATTTAATAAAGCATTCCTCTGTTCAGGCAGCTGCTGTTTTGCTAACCAGTCATTACACACTTTCTTAATGTGCAGTGGAACACAGATAGATCCACCTTTGAAAATTTTTAGTAAAATGATTTCGTGGGGACTGAAATGGCTCAGTGGTTAAGAGTGCTTGCTGCTTGTTCGAGTTGACTTCCCTATTGATGACATAAACACCATGACCAAAAGCAACTTGGAGAGGAAAGGGTTTAGCTGGCTTACATATTACAGTTCACCATGAAGGGAAGCCAAGGCAGGAGCTTGAAGCAGGAACTGAAGTAGACCACTAAGAAATGCTGCTAACTGGCTGGCTTCCCCTGACCTGTCAGCTACCTTCCTTATACAGCCCAGGCCCACCTGCCTTTGGGATGACACCACCCACGGTGGACTGGGTCCTCCCACATCAACTGACAATAAAGAAATGCCTCATAAACAAGGCAATGGGCCAAAGTGATCTGCAAAAGTCTTCAGTTGAAGTTCCCATTTTCCAGGTGACTCTGGGTTGTATCAAACTGACAAAACTAACCAGCACACAGCTCTTCCCAGAGAAACTGAATTCAGTCCCAGCACCTATGACAGGTAACTCACAACTACCTGTAATTCCAGGGGATCCAATGCCCTCTTCTGGCCTCCATGGGCACCCACACACACACCTGCACATAATACATAGAAACACACACATACACATAAATAAAAATAAAATAAATCATAAAATTATTTTGCTATATATTAGCTATTATTTGGTATTCTTATATAAAGTTTTAATAACTATGTAGCAGACGTTTTAATAAAAAACTTCAAGTGATAATGCAAGGGAAAAATAAATGCATTTTGTGTGTGGGGAGGTGTATGTGTCAGTGTGTGCTTATGGATGCCAGAGGCTGATGTTGGGTATCATCTTCCACTGATTTCCACCTTACTATTTTTCTTTTCTTTAAAAGGATTAAATTTATTTTTAATTACAAGCATGCGTGTGTGTATGTGTCTGTGTATACATATGTGCATGTGAGTGTGGGTGACCTCAGAGGACAGAGACAAAATCCCTGGGAGTCTGAGTTACAAATAGTTGTGAATTGCCCAGCAAAGGTGCTGGGAACTGAACTCACATCCTCCAGTCCCTCAACTTTATTTTTGGGAACTGGATCTTTCATTGAACTTGAAGCACCCACCTAGACTGGTCAGTGAACCCCCAGGATCTGCCTGTCTCTGTCACCAGCACTGAAGTTACAGATGTACGTAACCAACCCTGGCTTTTATGTGGCTACTGGGGGTCTGATACCAGGTCCCCATGAGCTATCTGCCCACTTTGCCCACTGAGAAATCTCCTCAGCCCTCTGCAAGTTTTATTCTAATAAAAATTAAACTAATAAAAGTTAAATAAATTTAGTAAAAGGGCATTATCAATACCACAAAATTGTGTGTTTAACTATAATCGGTTTAGATTGTTTCCTTTTCTTTTTACCTCTTCTCATTTACACCATAGCAGCTTCTCTGAATTCCATTTTTACTTCTGTGTAATTTCTAAAACTAACAGAAAATGTTAACATTGTATAGTTTCATTCTTTGTTCCAAATCATTCTTTCCAATTTTCATTTAATTAGTTAATTTGTGTGTGGCCACTTTTATGCCATTACATGCATGTGGAGATCAGGAAACAAATTGTCTTTGGTTCCCTCCTTCACCATGTAGGTACCAGAATTGAACTCAGGCCATCAGACATGGCTGCAGTGCCTTTATCAATTAATCCTTCTCACTGGCCCCCAAATCAGTCTTGTGAAACTTTAAGTGTATTTCATTATAAAAATTTCATATGCTTATTCAGCAAAAAGTACTAGGTTCTTCCTATAAGCACTATGAGCTAACCCGTGAAATTGGTTTGTTACTCTCTTGACCCCATCACCCCATCCAACAAAATAATGCAAATTAAGAGGTTGAAAACTGGGACTGGAGAGATGGCTCAGCAGTTAGGAATGCTGGCTGCTTGTACAGATGACCCAGGTCTGATTCCTAGCACCCTCCACATGGCAGTGAACAATAATCTGTAACTTCAATTCCAGGGAATCTGACACTCTCTTCTAGCCTCTGTGAGCACTGCACAACATGGATGCACTTACATATATATACAGGCAAAACACTCATACACACAAAGTAAAAATAAATAAAATAAAAAATAGAGGTTCAAGTCTTTGTGTTCATTCTTAAAACACCCATGGAACTGCTCAGACCATCAAGAGTATGTATACCTGAGAAGTCAACAAGTATCTGAAGAGTAACTTTAAAGAAGCAGTGTGAACCATTCCAAAGGTAGAATGGTAAAGTTGGTGGATGTTCACAGGCTGAATTGTGAGGCTGGACACAGGGTCAGTGGGACAAAATGGGTGCTGAATTTTTGTTGCAAAAAACGCTTTAAAATGCAGAAAATAATGCTGAACTTCAGGGTATACATAAGGATTCTCTGGTCATTGAACATGCCCAGGTATATAAAAGCATACAAGATGTACTACCATACTTAAAGAACTTGTGGTTAGATTAAGCCACACATAAGCGTCACCACCATATGATCCTGGAAAAGAACAAATTGTTCTTAAGCCAGAAAAGGAGGTTGCACAGAAGAGAAAGATAATCCAGAAAAAAACTCAAGAAACAAAACTTAAGCTATGGGACTAAATCAACATAAATTAAATGCAGAATAAAAGTAGTAAAACAAGAATACAAAAGATATTTTAAAAAACATTAGTTATGTTCTTAATGCATATAGAATTAATTTGATATTATTCTCTACTGACCATTGTCTCACAAAAATCCATATTGTTACATTGTATATGTATGTTTGTATGTACATGTATGTATATGGAAAATAATTTTAAAATTATATGCACACAACTATATTATAAGATTTGTTTCTGAAATGAAATATGGCACACCTGGGTTCTTCATGGTCTTTAAACATCCATGTGGTAGTTTTTGGCTGATAGTTTTGTGATGGCAGGGCTCATGACTTCATTATTTCCCCTCTAAATAAATAAAAACACTAAAGATACAGAAAACAGCATTGTCACTAGGCTGCAGTGTTCCATGGTCCTGTTCAACTCTGGTGGTATTCAATGCAGTTTATCATGATAATACCAGAAAATTATAGGAGAATATCTTGAAGGTTGTTCAGCTTTTTCTAATTATTATAATATATATGCCATAGATATTCTTAGGTTGAGGCAGAATTCATTTTCCCATCTGTTTAACTTTGTACTGTTTATTAATTTGCACATGCATGTATTTATTTATATTATGTATCTAGAATCAATAAACTGGGATCTGGAAGTGATTTTGAGGCTTATTTTCAGAGACTTGGAATTGCTTCAGGAAGAGCTCGCTATACTAAGAATAGGGTAAGTCATTTTAATATACAGTATGTGTCAGCTCTTCATTACTGTAACAAGATACCTGAGATAATCTAATAAAGACAGTTGGCTGTTTTGGCTCATAATTTCACAGGTCTAAGTCCATAGTGTTTCTCCTATTGCTTGTAGGACTGTGGCAAGACAGCACATCATGATGGGAGGATGTGAGAAAGGAAAGCTGCTCACCTTATGGCAGCCAAGAAGCAAAGAGAGATAAAAGGGGCTAGATTCCCACCATACTCATCAAGAGCATGCCCCCAATAACCTAATACCTCTCCCTAGGTTACTTCTTGTTTTTCATTTTTATTATGAAATAATGGGTTTCATTATGACATTTTCATACATATCTACAGTTTACTTTGATCATGTTCATCTTCCTCATTGCACTTTCTCCACCCCATACCTCCTTCTGTGGTCCTCTTTCTCTTTCAAATAATCCTCTGTCTATTTTAAAGTCTTTTGAAAAATCTAGATATCTAGACTCTGCATATGAGAGGAAACATGACACACCTATTTTTCCTCTGAGTATAGCTTATTTTACTTAGCACAATGATATAAACTTCCATCCATCTTTCCTACCCACTTCTTAAAACAGTTTGATCACATCTATCAATGCCACTCTGGGAGCCAAACCTTGAACTCATTAGTTTTTAGGGAACATTTAAGATTCATACCAGGGTTGGAGAGATGGCTCAGCAGTTAAGAGCACTGGCTGCTCTTGCAGAGGACCTGGGTTCAGTTTCCAGCACCCACATGGCAGCTAACAACCATCCATAACTCTAGTTCCAGGGAATCCAGCACCCTTTTCTGACCTCTGTCGGCACTGTACAACACAGGTGCACTTACATACATGTAGGCAATACACTCATACACATAAAATAAAAATAACAAATATTTTAAAGAGGCAAACCAAAGCAGCATTTCACTCAATGCACTGTTATTGAGTTGTTTGTCATTAGGCACAGGGGGATCTATGACCTAAAAAGAGCTCCAGGGACAAAAATGGGCTGTCTGATCCTTTGTATGAAGAACCATGACTATGAAGGGATATGGGTCATTCTGTGAATATATTACCTCTAAGGTTATTCAATGAAATGGTAGTTCAGCTACTAATGTCAAATGTTTAGCTGGTTGTGTATGCTAAGCTATGCACTACTTTTTCTCAAAGCAGGATTTGTCAGGAAAATCTTATTTTGTCCTGGGGAAGTAGCTCAGTTGATAGAGAGCTTGCCTAGCATGCATGAGGCCCTGGCTTCCATTCCCATAAAACCAGATATGGTGGTACATCTCTGTAGTTCCAGCACTCCAGAGGAAACAGGAGGATCAGAAGTCTACAGACACTGTCTCAAAATATTAAATAAATAAATCTTATTTTATATGGCCTTGCCTGTCATGAGGCAAGGTCTTGTGGGTAGAGAATAAAGCAAGTTTCTCTCTCTCAAGTTTGCACTGGCTAGTTTGTGCCATTTTATTCACTCATTCTGAGGACTTGTAAGTACTTAGATATAGCAACTTGCTCTGTGTTTCCTTATCTATGTCAGGTTATGTTGTAAACCATACTGAAGACTACATTAGTAGACACAACTTCTTTACAACTTCTAGTCAATTTCAAATGAAACTTGCAACACACCAACATCTTATTTGTTCTTAATTCATATCAATTGCAAATTGACTATCCAGAATACAACGGAGGATAGAGAAGCAAAAACAGCTCCAAAATATTATAAAATAAATGACTAAGCCTTATATATTAGCACTCACTACTTACTAGAGCTAGTCCTTAAGCAACAGGGGTGTCTTAGTTTCTTTCTATTATGACCAAAACCACTTTGCAGAGGAAAGCATTTATTTGACTTCCAGCACAGTCCATCATCAAGGGAAACTAAGGCAGGCACTAAGGGCAGGAACCTGGAACACAGACCATGGAAGTGCACTGCTTACTGGCTTGCTCCTTTGTCTTGTGCTCAGCCTGCTTTCTTATACAACACAAGACCACCTGCCCAGGGGTAGCACCGCCCACGATGGGCTGGGCCCTCTCACATCCCTCAACAATCAAGAAAATGCCCCACAGACAGAACCACAGGCCAGTCCAATGGAGACAGTTCCTCAATTGAGATTCCATCTGTACTGAAAGTGGGGTCGTTTCTACTCATTCAATTATTATTACTCTAGAACCTCCTAAATAGATTAATAAGTCTTGCATATTAACACTCACTGCTTAACACAGCTAGTTCTTGAGCAACATGTGTTTAAACTGTATGGGTCCATTTTGAAGCAAACTTTTTTAGATTTTCTAAAATTTGAAAGAGACCGCAGACAAACTAGATACTCTAGAAATATAAAAACTTTAAAAGTTAGGTATAGCATACATGAAATATATATATATAAATGTCTATTTTATCATTTACTGCCATAAAATATATACAAATTTACTGTAAAAAAATTAAATTTGTCAAGTTGTACACATTATTATGCATGGAGCCATTTGCAATAGAATTAAATTTAAGTACATGTAAAGATTCCACATTAAATTACAGCTGTATAAAATGAACTATAGTACATGCTACACTACTAAAATAACTTCCTAGTCATTTCCTGTGGTATTGTGGTGTGCTTACAGAGAGTATTTGCTCAAAATGCCATGCAGTAATAATCATCTTTGCGTAAGTAGTTCATCTCTTCAGGAAGTTGAGTATCATGGTAAAAAGTCATCTTTTATGGGTCTCACATAGTTTTACCATATAGAATGCATACAGCATACAAGATAGGTATTGCTTATGTTACTTTCAGTCAATGGCAGGCTATTAGTAGTTTAGTTTGCACATGAATTTTCAATTATATGAGTCAGAATGAGGTTGGTTTCCCCTAATGCCATGTGTTCAAGGGTCAACTGCATATAAAGAGTGCTTTAACTCTTTTTCAAGGTCTGTTCATTCTGTCATCCGTTTGAACAAAGTCGTCTAGTTTCTGAGATTAGAACTACAAAATCAGGTAGAATAAAAACCCATATAGGCCTTACTTTTTGGTGATCCAGAAGCAGCAAGAATAATAGAACTATAGGAAGTACACATAGTAAAAAACTAAAATTATGATATACAAACCTAAGAATTCAAAAACTAGGTAGCAACAGTTCATTACAGTCACTCCTAGTGTGTGATCAGGGGCTAGTGGCATCTGGGTTGAACACTGCTTGTTGAGAAAGAAGATATAATATTCTTTAGCTCTGGAGACACTTAACTACCCCAATCCTTTCATGCCTGATCAGTTCATAATTTTGAAGTGTGCTGATTTGAATATGTATTCCTTAATTATAGTTATTAGAACCAACATTTTGAATGAAGGTTACATGAATTATAAAATAAAGAAATGTAAAAATTTACATCCATGAACATTTTGGCTGTAGTATTTTAATTAGATTTAAAAAAATTTTTTGCTTCACTCTGGTGACATTTAATGTTTTTAATTCTTCAATTCCTTCCCCCATTTTAGAAAACAGATAAATACAGTAGCTATCCTGTATATCACACCATCTATGAGACCTTTGAATTAGTAGAGAACTTTTATGACCCTACATTTAAAAAACAGCTTTCTGTGGCTCAGTTACGAGGAGCATTGGTATATGAGCTTGCAGACTCTACAATCATTCCTTTCAATATTCAAGACTATGGAAAAGCCTTGAGAAATTATGCAGCAAGTATCTTCAATTTATCCAAGAAACATGACCAACAACTGAGAAGCTATGGAGTATCATTTGGTGAGATACTTTATTCACTTTAAGATAGAGCTTTCTTTCTCTTACGGTAGAGCATTCTAGAAGGAATCACTCCTCATTTATTATTTTTTTTAAGGCAAAACCTTTAAATAAACACATTAGGAGTCTAATTTAAACTGGTATGTTTATGATTAGTCAATTGTTGGTGAGGTGGTTACTACTCTTAAAAGCACATTTACTTCTACAAGAAAAAAATGAAGAAAATGTGATACTATTACCAAAAGATTAAAAATAGAGAAAGTGGGGTGGAGAAAGGACTCAGCAATTAAAGAGCACTGACTGTTCTTGCGGAGGACCTGGATTTGGTTCCTGGTACCCACATGGCAGCTCACAACTGTCAGTAACTCCAGTTCCAGGGAATCTGACACCCTCTTTTGGTATATATTCTTAGTATATGCTACAATGATCAAAGACATATTGAATATATACTGTGTACCAAAAACATTATTACTGAAAGATATAGTTAAAGTCCTTAAAAAGCCTAAACTTTCATATGAGAAAGAGGTAGACAAATGCATAGGACAAATTACTAAAGGGGCAAAAGGATTATAACTATGAGCACAGAGAATAGGGATGGAATTGTTCATTAATGACACTTGAATATCATTTTGATTATTCCATAAGGACTAATAATCTATGAAGTAATGAAGAACAGATATTTTGATTATTTAAGAAAAATTTTTAATTGCATTTATTTGTTGGGGGGCATGTGTGCTACAGTGTAAATGCGGAAATCAGAGGACACTTTGTGAGATGTTGGTTCTCTCCTTCCACCATATGGATCTCAGGGATCAAACGCAGGTCATCGGGCTTGGCAGCAAGTGCCCTTACCCACTAAGCCATCTTGCCAGCCAAGAAGCAGGTGTTTTGGTGTGGAAATATGAAACAAAGAAGAGCCAGGTTTGGTATTCCACATCTGAAATCTTAGCAGTTGAAGGCTGATCACAGGCTGATCACTAGTTCTAGGCCAGCCTGGGCTACATAGCCAGCCCCTGTCTCATAAAACAACAAATAAAAGAAGGATAGAGAATAACAGAATCAGTGTTTTCATCAAAGTAACTGGAGTGTCTCTGCATGACGAGGGAAATGAGAAATGAAACTGGAGAAAAAAGCAGACCCTGAACAAGACAGTTTCGTTATTCTGTAGCAGTGCAGCACTTGGTGCCTCCCCAAATGTCCCAGTTGTCTTTTGGTGAAATGCCTCTTCTCCATTGGTATAGCCTGAGGTCCAATCAAGAGACAAGCTACAGAGACTCAGTGGCAGGGCTATTCTTAGACCAAGTTAATTTCTCCTTTGCTTACCTCTCAGGGACCAGTCTTAACTGTTAATGCCATTCTCTACTTCGTTGTTGCATCTGCCTCTCTATTGATGAATATTCATCAAATGGCATACTCCCATACCACTTCCATTTTAGAAACAGTCTTTCTCTCTTGCTGTGCCCTACTTTCTTCATGCTCAGGATTCTTCATTAGTGCCAGGCAACAATGGTTACTGAGAAGATGATTTAATGAAGAATACTGGTCTGATGATTGAATGAATACATAAGCTGTCCACCCCTGCCTCCAGTTATCTACCAATTCATTGCTCTCTTGTTGTCCCTATTACTATTTTAAAATGGTCTTGCCAGTGCTGTCACTGACCACTGTCACTCTGACATAATTAATGATTTTTATACTGTACTTGAAATTTAAATTTCCTTTTTCAACACGTTCTTTCCTTTCCTTCGCTTCAGTACTCCCATTATTAGATTATTTGCTTTGAGCATTAAATAAAAAAAGCTTGAAAAAAAATGAGGGCTAACATGCCCTGTGATGCAATAGAATCCTGTTACCTGAGCTACAAGTGCTTTATCTATAAAACAAATGTGGACTTGTATGCTTTGCCTGAGTCACAGAACTGATATAAGCAATAAATCAATCATGTATGCCGAAGTCCTATTTGGAAGCCATAAAATGTGAAAAATAGGTTATAATAAAAAATATAATGTGCTGAGAATTTAATCACATTTCTTAGAAATTCAATGAACTAAAGAAGAGTTTAACCAGACAAAACCTGATTCTGTTTCTTAGTCTGGTTATGTCACAGGTCACCTTTTGAACAATATCTTAAGTGTAATATTTGAAAATAAGAATTGGGGGACTGGAGAGATGGCTCAGTGGTTAAGAGCACTGACTGCTCTTGCAGAGGACCCAGGTTAGATTCCCAGGACCCACATGGTGGCTATGAACCATCTTTAACTCCAGGAGAATCTAATGCCCTCTTCTGACCTCTGCAGCATTGCATGACATGGTACATTCATATACATGCAGGCAATACACTCATACACTAAAAATAAAAATAAAATATTAAAAAATAAGGATCGGCATTGTTTTAGTCCTGTAATAATTATAGGGATCATATCTATTTATGCCTATATCCATGGCTAGCATATAATTGTTCCAATAAATATGTTTAATCAATCAATCAATGCAGGGATTTTGGCAAATTATTAATTATTTATGACCTACACTTGTGAAAGGTAATTCTCTAAGAACTATTTGGGGGCTGGAGAGATGGTTTGGTGGCTAAGAGCATTTGCTGCTCTATCATGAGCTTAGATCGCAGCACCCATTCCATTCCATGTCAAGTGACTCACAAACACCTGTAACTGCAGCTCCAAGGGTTCCAATGCCCTCTTCTGGCCTACACAGGACAATGTGACTGTATACATATACACTCACACAAACATACACATACACACACACACACACACACACACACACACACACACACACACACATGGACATATATACAAGTTTTTTAAAAGGAATCAATTTGGCCACTTTTAAAATTTCCATTTGTTTTTCAAAATATTTTTCATGAATCTATAAGAAGACTTAGTAGCAAGAATGTGACTCTTTAAAATATGACTAATTTCTCTTTTACTTTTGTATTTTTACAAAGATTCCTTGTTTTCTGCTGTGAAAAATTTTTCAGAGGCTGCTTCAGATTTTCATAGAAGACTTACAGAAGTTGATCTTAATAAGTAAGTTTCAGATGCCTTCTTTTAGAATAATGGGCTATTTTCACTTACATAAGTGTTGAACTCTAAATCATTTCTACTCAAATTATAGTCTGCACACCAGCAGCAACAGCACCAATTAACAGCTTACTAAAAAGTTGAAAGACATACCAAATTAGAGTTCAGCTTTTTAATGATGCAAGATTTATACTACATTAAATTTGAATTTGCATGATGAGAATTCTTACCACACTTTATTCACAGTTCAAGTGCTTTCACAATATGTTTCAGTTCAGTCTTTGTCCAATACTCCTATGTATCAGTTAGCCAATTCTTTTTTATTGTTTTTTTTCACTTTGTGTAACTTCTTGCCACTGTTAGACTGAAAATAATTTTTAAAGTATATTAGAACAGTTATGTAAAATAAGTATAAATTGCATCAATGTACAGTTTTTTTTCAGATTTAATTAAAAAGCTGTCAGTCATTTGGAGGAGACTAGTCCCTCTTGGATGGCAGGAGAACCTAAGGAAGTAGTTCAGTTTCCCCAAAAGCAGTAAAATGATTTTGAAAATGAAAGGAATTCCCCACCCACCATGTCTTTCCCTTCTCACAGATTCCAGAAACCATCACTTTTTGTTGTGCAGACTTTATTCTGTTCCTTTTCATTGTAAGACTGAATGACTTATAAGGAAAAACTTGATAGTTCACTCTAACTTTCCCAGAGCCTGGCCATCCTAAAAGCAAAGAATATCTTTCATTTCTATTTTTCTTTTTTTTAATTGAATTTTTGCAATTTACATGGTATTTAGATCACCTCCTCTATCCACATCTTCCTCTACTGCTCCTCCCCCTGCCTAATTTAATATATATAATATAGCCCATAGTGTCTGATTTATACAAATGTCCTTCCGTGTAGGTTCATCCACTGGGCCCACCAAGTGTCCCTTTCCTGTAGGACAATCCTTCTCCCCATCCTAGCAGCCATCAGTAGTCAAAAGTTTCTTAGCTTTGGTTGGGATTTCTTTCTTTAAATACTGGGGAGGTCAGAAGAGGGTGTTAGATCCTCTGGAGCTGAGCCATCTTTCCAGCCCTGAGTTGGAAATTCCTTTTTTCTTCTTCTTCTTTTTTTTTTTAAATTTGTTTTTATTAAATTTTTGTGTATTTTGTACAGAACATTTCAAATCATTTTAATCACCTTTATACCCCATCCCACCAGCACCCTCTTATCCCCCCTGCCACTGGAACCCATATATTCTGTCATTTGTGTTAAAGGCCCACTGTGTCAAGTCAGTGTCCCCAAACATTCCCCAGTACAAGTCCATCCCCTGAGGTCTAGTCAGCCTATCTAAAGTTTCTTATTTTAAGAAGATCAGCTCTTCTTCACCTAGCAGTAATCAGTTGCCAATATTTCTTTGGCTAAGATTGGGGTTTGCTGTGCATTTCTCCTGGGCTGGGATTTCTTAACCATGTCCCCATGACTTTTCTGGGATTTCATTTGGTTTGAGTTTGCATAAGACTTGTGCATGCTGTCACCATTGCTGTGAGTTCATATGAGGATCTGATCAGCTGTCTGGAGGACTGTTTCCTTGTCACTCACTGCTCTGACTCTTACACTCCTTCTGCTCCCTATTCCACAGTTACCCCTGAGCCTTGGGAGGCAGAGGTTTAAAATAGGTATCCCATTCATGGAAAAGTACTTTCTGGTCTCTTGTTCTCTGCATATTGGCCAACTGTTAATCACCATCTGCTGCAGAAGGAAACTTCTCTGGTGAGAATTGAGAGATGCATTCATCTTAAGTGCAGAGGTTTGCATTACAGATGTGTCACTTAGGGTTAAGCATCTCACTGGCATTTATTCTCTGCATTTAACAAATTCTAGAACTCTGAAATAGTCTCCATCTGTTGCAAAAAGAAGCTTCTTTGATGAAGGATGAAAGGTACACTTGTCTGTAAATATGAAGATGCATATTTAGAGTGAAGTAAGGTGGGTTGAGAGCTGGCTCAGTGGTTAAACGCATTGGCTGTTCTTGCAGAAGATCTGGGTTCAAACCCCAGCACCCACATGATGGCTAACAACCATCTGTAACTCCAGTTCCAGGGCATCTGATGCCCTCTTCTGACTACCATGGGTAGTGCATGACATGGGTGCACTTACACACATGGAGGTATAACACTCATATGAATAAAATAAAATTAAAAAATGTATACATATATAAATTATTAAATTATAATAAAGAAATTTGCATTGGTCTAGAGATGTGGCAAAAGTAGGATTTTTTCAGGATCTATGACTTCCCCAGCCATGTGTATTTGGCTACATTCACAGTACAACACATGGGCTCCCTCCTATTGAGCAGGCCTTAATTCCAATTAGACAGCTGTTGATTAACCTCAAGATAAAAGTGCCACTACTGCACCAATAGTGACTGACAGTGACTGGCACAGTAGTAGTGCCAGTCACTGTTGTTTATTAGGTTTTACAGCTGGGTAGGCCCATTTATGGGTTTTCTCCCTTGGCAGCTTGTATAGGATCCTCTGATATCATGAGAGCTAGTCTTCAGGGAAAAGACATCCATCCAGGTTAGTTCCAGCTCTATTGTTCCAATTCCTATGTCTTAAGTGTGGCCTGTCTTCAGCAATAGGGTCTTATCTTCAAATTCTGGGAGTTAATCAAGAGCTGTGGCAAGAGCTGTGTTATTTTGGTAGTTTCTTAGACTACTCTGACCAACAACTCAGAGATTTCTCCTGCCTGGCACTGTGTTTTCTGTTATATAGCCTTCAGCTATACACACACACTTGTACATTTATTGTATGTGTATTTTTCAATACAATTTTGAACTAATACATTACTCTCTGGTTTTTCTACCATCTAAGCATTATTTATATCTCCTCTCACTCCCACTGTATAACTCTCCTTATTCCCCCCACCCCCAGTTGAAGTACTACCCTCCTTTCCCCATTTACCCTTTAATAACACCTGTATCCTACTATCCCCCTCTCTGGAAGTCCTCCTTCCCTTTTATCCCCATGGTTCCTTTACATTTTCCTGGCTTCCAGGTTTACATCAGGATATATACTTATATCTAGAGATTTGGACTAAGATGCACAAATGATAGAGAACATATGTTGCTTATTTTCTGAGTCTGTTACTTCACTTAGCATAACAGTTTCTAGTTCCATCCATTCACCCTCAAATTTTATGATTTCATTTTTCTTTACTGCTGAGTAGAACTCCATTGTATAAATGTATCACATTTTCATTATCCATTCATCATTGAGGCATATTTAGGTTGTTTCCATTTCTTAGCTATTGTAAAAAAAGCAGCATCTAACATGGCTGTGCAAGTATCTCTGTGGTAGGATGAGTCCATTGGGTACATGCCAGAGTAGCATGACTGGATCATATGGTAGATTTTATTTTTTAAAGAGTTCTCCATACTGCTTTCCAGTTCAAAAAGAAGAGGTCAAATTAAACTTATTTGCAGATCATATAGTATTATACATAAAAGAGCCCAAAAAATTTTACCAGAAAATTCTAGAAATGATCAATACTTTCAGCAAAGTGGCAGGTTACAAAATCAGTCTACAAAAATCAGTATCCTTTGTATATACAAATAACAAGCAAGCAGAGACATAGTTTCCACCCACAAAAATCTCAGGCTCCTTTAACTTCTCTAAGGAGAATGCATTAAAATGTTTCCAAATCATTTGTCACATTCCTTTCATATATAACTTTATATGCATATATATAGATGTATTTCAGTTTCAATTTATTTCTATCATCTATCTTCTATCTATCTATTATCTATCTATCATGTATCTATCAATATCTTCTATGTATCTATTATCTATCTATCTATCTATCATCATCATCTATCTATCTATCTATCATCTATGTATATATCCAAAGACATTAAAGACCTCTTCAATGAAAACTATAAATCTTTGAAGGGATTGAGGAAGACACAAGGAGTGGAAATATCTCCCATACTCATAGATTGGTAGAATCAATATAGTGAAAATGACCACTATACCAAAGGCAATTTACAGATTCAGTGCAACCCTAACCAAAATACCCATGACATTCTTCCCAGAAATAGAAAAATCCACCCTAAAATTCATATGGAAACACAAAAGACCCTGGATACCCCAGGCAATCAAGCCTGAGCAAAAAAGCAATGCTGCAAGGATTTCCAAACCAGACCTCAATCTATATTCTAGAGCTATAGTCATAAAAATAGCATGATATTGGCACAAAAACAGATTTGTAGATCAATGGAACAAAGTGGAAGACCCAAACATGAGTGCATGCAATTACAGCTACATAATATTTGACAAAGTTTCTAAGAACGCACACTGGAGGAAAGACAACATCTTCAACAAATGATGCTGGCAAAATTGGACCTCCACATATAGAAGAATGAAATTAGACACATACCTATCATCCTGCACAAAAGTCAACTCCAAATGGATAAAAGACTTCACTCAATGTGAAGCCTGAAATACCGAAACTGTTAGAAGAAAACCCTAGAAGGTATAAATACAGGAAAGGATTTTCTAAATCAGATATCAGTCGTTCAGGAATTAGGTCAATAATAGATAAAAGGGACCTCACTAAACTAAAAAAACTTCTGTACAGCAAAGGAAACCAGTGGCATGAAAGGAAGCCTACAGAGTAGGAGAAAACCTTCATTAACTATTCATCTGACAGAGGATTAATATCCAGAATATACAAATACTCAAAAACGAAGAAAACAAATGACCCAATTAAAAAATGGGCTATCGATCTGAACAAAGAGCTCTCAGAAGAAAAAAATAAGAATGGCTTAGAAACATCTTAAAAGGTGTCCAACATTCTTAGTAATTGGGGAAATGCAAATCAAAAGTACTCTGAGATTTCATCTACCCCAATAAAACTGGCTAAGATGAAGAGAAGAAATGATATCCAGTGCTAGCAGGGAAAGGGAAATCCTCTTCCACTGTTGGTGGGATTATAAACTGGTGCAACCACAGTGCAAATTGGTATGGAGAACTAAAAAACTAAAAATTAATCTCTGTGCCCTTGAAAAACCAATCATTTTCCAGTAGCATACTGTGCATATTATAAATGTTCATAAAATTATTCTTACTGTGTAATTACTTTGTTAACATAATTTTGTTAATCTATTGATTAATTTATTTTCCCAATGCCTTATATTTATTTACTATTAATTTAAGCATGGTTCACTGCTAAAGATTTTAATTACATATTTCTTGTTATTCAAGTCCTATTGCAGTGAGAATTATGAATGACCAATTGATGCTCCTGGAAAGAGCATTCATAGACCCCCTGGGTTTACCAGGGAGGCAGTTCTACAGGTAAGCAAAGGGTGGGTGCTCCACAAAGGTCACAAATACCTCACTATGATCAAAGGAGTATACCAAAGATGCTTTAAATTAATGCTATCAGATGAGTAGAAGATGAACGTGTATACCAAAAGGAGTGTGGGTAAGATTATCTATCTAGTAAATGACACAATATGTAGCATCAGGTAGATGAGAAAGAACCCTTAACAAAATAGTCAAGCCACAGAATTCTAAAGGGATCTGAGTTCATGTATTTAACAACCCACATGAATTCTTCTTGCAGGTTTTCAGATAAATATCCAGTCTCTGTTTTAATCTTGGTGATTGAAAACTTACTGCTTCATGAAGGTGTTTGTTCTGTTTTTTTAGAAGAGTAATTTTTAGAAAACTTTCTTCATAAAGATCTCAAATCATTCATCCTGTAATGTTATTACTGACCTGTTCTTTCTTCCAAAATCAAGTTTAGCTTTCATTCCATACAGTAAGACCACTGCCGCATTCCTTGAGAGAAGTACTGTTTTTGTTTTTGTATCTCTATGCCATATTTTCTGTTGATATCTTGGCTATATGCCTATTTTCTAAAGGTCCTTCAAAATGGTTCCTTGATGGAAATTAAGAAGGTTCTAACAATTAAATTCAGAAAATGTATGTTCAAGTTAAGCCAGATGCAGGATTAAGAACCTATCTCAGTGCTGTTTTGATGTTAGTAAATCATTTATAGGATTTTCCTGTCTGAATTAAGATGATACATAGTACTTTAAAAATCGATCTACCATGAAATGACATGAAGAAAATAGCTGTCACATTTTTAAAAGTTAGTAGTTAATATTAACATTCAAGTGACAAAAACTTTGGAGTTTTGGAGTCCAGCCTTGCTATTTACTGAGTCCTGGGAAATTCTCTAAACCTAGAATTTCTCAGTCACACATGAACATTGTAACTATTTTCATTCCCAAGGTCTGTAGATTCAAGGCATGAAGAAGATTAAGCTCACAGGGAGAAGCATTCAGCAATGGAAGCTATTCTTATAAATTATAAATAAGAACGTAAGTGGGGTTGGAGAGATGGCTCAGTGGTTAAGAACATTAGCTGTTCTTGCAGAAAATTCAGGTTCGAATCCCAGTACCCAAATGGCAGCTAACAACTGAATTGTTCCAGGAGATCTGATGGCCTCTTCTGTCCTCTGCAGGCACTGCACAACACAGGTGCACTTACACACATGCAGGCAATACATGCATACACAAAAAATAAAAATAAAATATTAAAAAATAAGTAGGAACATAGTATTCATTGATAAAAACAAATAGGAGCCATCAGTTACATACATGTATGTATGCATATGTGTGTATATCCAAAGGTTGAAAGAAATGTCTACAATTTTAGTCTTTTCTTGAATGTTAGTTGTCTTTTTAAAACTAATTTTATAATGAAAGCATGTGTATTTTTTAAATATTTAGATTCTGAAGCACTCAGACTAGAGAGAATCCTACTGCAGCATTGTGTGTCATATATATATATATATATATATGTTTACATGTCAATATGGATCTAGTTATATATGCATGTTTATAAGTTTGCTTACTATATTCATGTAGTGTATTTGCATATAAATGTGAATATATATGCTTATACATATTTCTTAAATATAGAAACATTTGTATTCATATGAACAGGCCATACCTTATTTTACAGCTTTTTTTTTTTTTCTTTCAAGATTCACTAGTGTTCTTTTGAGGTCAGCATACATGGTTTCAGCACTTTCTTACCCTGTATATTGTTCAACTGTCTAACTTTCATTTGCAGCTTTAAAGACTCCTTATTGAGATTTGCTAGATGTCTTTTTTCTCAACCATTATTAAATGGACTTACATAATATTTCCTTATGTCCTGTTTGAAAATTTATAGATACTAAAATAATTGGGCCATGGGATTTCAGGGCAGCGCATTTAAAAATGAGATTAAGCTGTATCATAATGTCCTCTAAAAATTCCCCCAAATTTTCCAAATGCCTTTTGAACTATTAACTGAATATTTAGACTAAATTCTAAAGCAGTTCATATTGCTGTTTCATTCAAGTGTAGTGGTATAGAGATACTTTTCCCTTCATTATTGTTAAGATTACTTTATAGAATGTTATGATATATTGCATACTAATATTTTTTTCCAAAAACTTTTAAGAGAAATGTAGCTCTGATATTTGCAATTTTTCATTTAGGCACATCATCTTTGCTCCAAGTAGCCACAACAAATATGCTGGAGAGTCATTTCCTGGGATTTATGATGCCATGTTTGATATTGAAAATAGAGCAGACCCTCGCTTGGCTTGGACAGAAGTGAAGAAACATATTTCTATTGCAGCTTTCACAATTCAAGCAGCAGCAGGAACACTGAAAGATGTTTTATAGGAAGGATTCAGTCAAGTGGGTTGACCACCAAAAGTACTGCTAAGAGTCAGAGTAAACTTGATATAGGGAGGTCTCAGTCACATGGACCATGTGGACTCACTACTAAAGGTGCTGCTGAGAGTTTGTGGACAAAATCTGTCTTTTCTTTGATGATTCACAAAGCCACAGTATTCTAAAACTGTGATTTTCATGTCCTGCCTGGTATTTACACCTTGTTTATCTGTAAAGAGGTTTTTTTCTGTTTTTTTTTTTTTTTTTTCTTTTTCACTCTTGCATGCCTGTTCAGAGAAAGTGAAACTGGAAGCAATCCTAATGCCATGAATGGATACATTGTGGTACATATACAGTGGGATACTACTAAAAATGAAAGAACTGCCAGCCATCCAACATTCCTGGCAGACACTGCTGCATAAAAAGCTAGACATGAAAGAATATATAAGGTAAAGCTAATCTGCAGAGCTAGAAATAGGATAGGAAGCTTTCTAGATAGTTTTCTATCCCTTAAGCTTTGGCTTAGTTATACAGGTTTATGCATTTCCAAATTTCATGAAACTGTTATTTAAATGTGTACACATTTTGTTTAAAATTATGGTCAAATAAATTTAATTATAAAGAAACCTAAAAAAATGGAGGCCAGGTAAAGAAATAGAAACAGCACATCTTCCTGTATAAATGACTAGGGAGTACATGGAGTACACATGGTCCAAAAAAAAGTCAGTGCCTGTACTTTCATAACTTTGGCTTCACTGAATAAAGCATGTAAGTCTAACAAGCGAGGAAATACTTGCCAAAAATCTCCATTCTGATTCCTGCAAGAAAAGTTTAATAGCACCTGTAAGTTGAATTTACTGCTGGGAGGCATGCACTCTCAGCTTCCAGGCTTCTGGCATGACCCCCTCCTCCCACTGTCCTTATGACAAACTGATACAATATTCCCCCAAACTACAATTTAGGGAACAGAGGTATTTATTGGGCTAACAGAGCATATGATGGCAGTCAGGGGATTTACAAAGGTATGGACGCTTGGGCGTCCCACCCCCTACGTTTCGGCTGTGGCTTCCATACCTCCTGCCGCTAGTCCAAGATTGCAAAGTGCCTTCCTTCTCTCTTCCTGTCCCTATCCTTAGCCCCTCCCCTTCATGCAGTTAAGGCTGACTGATTGGGTGGGAGGGGTGACTGTCTCCATCTGCCCCTCCCCTCCTACAGAAAGTCTTAGGGTCCAATTTGTTTGAATTAAGTGGAGGTGAAGCTAGAGAAGAAGGAATCTATCTTTGCTGGTCATTTGGAGGACAAGCTTATCTAACACTCCACCCCTTCCTCCAGCTCTTACAATCTTCCCACCAGCTTCTTCCACAAGAGTCCCTGAGCCTTGGAGGGACTGACAGATGTAGGATGACCTCTTGTGGTGAGATACTGAACTCCTGGGCCTTTGCATCATTTGTTGCCAAGACATGGCTGTTAATGCATCTCAGTGGTATTTCTCCCACTATAAAGACAAATGAAAAGAAGCAGAACATTTAAACAAACATTGACTGTCATACTAATCTAATGATGGGTGTAAATACAAATGCTTAGAAGGCACCTTAACAAGTGCATCACATTCCTCTAACAAAACACTTACAGCAGTTTCCCCACTGGGGCCTATAACCTCCCCTGCCACAGGGGGTTGGCCTGGTTTATAGCACCAGATGTGTGTTCCAACCCTAGGAGTGGGCCTTATATCAAATCAGAAATTTGTCAGTTGTACATATATTAGTAGAGCCACTAATTACATCAGCAGGCACATCTTACTTGGCATGTGGATAGCGTGCAGCACAAGGGTGTGGGAGGGAGTCCATCATTGAGCAGAACTTTTGGGGAATGTTCTCCCCTAACGATTCTGCTAGGCACCTCCTGGCACTATGACCACCAGCCATCTGGTGGCAGGGAGTTTCCAGTTTAGTCTCAGCTTCATCTCTTGCTCTCCTGTGCTCACATCATGCAGTTTCTTCAGCAACAGAGCCTTCTTGACTCTGACAAGCAACCAACATTAGTGGCAACAGCCTTTATCATTGTGAGGACCTTCAGGGTCTCTCTGGCCAACAGCTCTTGGGGCGGGGTGGGGTGGGGGCACAACCCATCCCTGGTACTGGAAGTTTTACTTAACAATTGTACATTTCTTGGGAGCCTCTATTTTTATTTTATATTACTATATATATTTTTTTGTTTTTGGTCTTTTTGAGACAGGGTCTTTCTGTAGCCCCAGCTGTCCTGGAACTCACTTTGTAGACCAGGCTGGCCTTGAACTCAGAGATCTGCCTGCCTCTGCCTCCTGAGTGCTGGGATTAAAGGTGTGCGCTACCGCGCCCGGCTATTTTTTATTTTTATATTTGTTTACTCTGGCATTTACAGAATCGGGCTGTTGTAGACTTTGCCCACCCATTCTGGTGGGTATCACTTGTGCCTTAACCAACCATAAAGTTCCCAAGAATTTTACAGCTATAGCTGGTCTTCGTTTCTTCAGGCGTACTTGATATCTCTCAAATGGGTTTCACATCTGGAAAGCATTCAGAGGTTAACATTATACACTAAATCAAACATAGACAAGGCTTTATACAGCATGGGAAGATTTTATCCATTTGAATTGTTTTCTCAACAGATATACGTTGGGTACCGTAGCATGGCTAAGAGGCATTAACTTGGTTTTTTACTATCTTTAGTCATTTTTTAGGAGTTATTCCATATCCTGGGGATTTTACATGGAGCATCTCCATATTTTCTTATTTTTTATAAACTCATTGGGGCTGGCGCAAGTTGCCTGACCCTGCACAGGGCTAAGGAGGAACAGGGCTTCTCTTGTCCCTGATACACCTATTGCTTCCCTGAGTCAGGTAGGCCCTAGGTCTGTCTCCTGGCTGTAGCCATATCTGCTGTCTCTCCATTGACCACACTTGGCTGCTGGGAAAGGCCCTGACAGGGAAAACTGCCTCCATCACTAATAAAACTTTTCTCAGGAGAGAAATGTACCTTGTTTAATCTTTGGGATCCTTATCCACCCCGGGTCAGTTTTTATCTTTTGTATGTCTTTTGTGAATGGTTTCTCAGGTTTTAAAGCCTTCTAGAAGCTCTTTCGTAGGTTTTAAAGACTTCCAGAAGCTCCTTAGCACAGAATTTGGCTTTTTATTAACTTCTTCTTTAGGAATTTGGGTTCCACAAATCTTGCCACATTTGCCTTTGAGTAACCCAAACAGACCTCTTTTTCAGGTTTGTCCTTTATCTCTTTTAGGTTGTTCTACTACTTTACACACATGCTTTACATGCTGGTTTAAGCCACTTAGATTTTTTCTTTAAATCTATGGTGAACACAGTCCTATCTGGCCCACTGAACTGGGCATCATATATTACATTCCTTATACCTAGTTCACTCACTTGTTAGGGTCCAAGACTCCGTGGGCTTCCCAGGAAAGCAATATGTACGAGTATGGAGATGTAATTCAAGCAAAGTCTTTATTAAGCCAGCTAGCTGGGGTCGACTGTCCTCCCAAGACACGCAGGCCTGGTTAGAGCAATCGACCCTGAAGCAACTTCAGGCAAAGTTTATATAGGATTTTCACAGCCATTGTATCAGAGCCCGCACATTTTCACACAACCAATAGTTTTAAAATACCTAACCTATAGATTTAAGCTAATTCATGTGTGTCACCCTCTGGGTGGTACGTGTCAGTTTCCTGATTTCTGTAATCTCTTATTTACACGAGCATTTCTGACTGCTTTCCGTTATCTCTCACATACCTACATGACTTATTATGGGTCACACCCTGGGGCGGCAGCCCACATCCCGTTATCTATCTGCGGGCACCCTTATGTCTCAGTCTAGCTTTGTACCAGAGTTGAGTGGCTCTTACCCAGGAAGTTATAAGCAATGAAGTAATTAAACTTAAGTACTATTAAATTCTCTCTCTCTTCAATCTTTGATTCCCTCTGTATTTTTCCCTTACACACTAATGCCTGTTCCTCTTCTATGGCCCTCCACCCCCTGGATCCATGGGAACCTCCATCGGTGATGACCAAGTTATCTCCAATGGCTCACATAAGCCATTCCATCAAGGACTGCTTCTCCCCTGAACTGCCTCAGGTTATGCAGTCTATGTTTCAAGGAGGGATGGGTGGTTGTATTGCTCAGCTTTAATGTTTCTGTAGCACTTTAATATCTTTTGCTCCCTTGTCCCATATCCTCTCAAGCCATGTGGGGAGGGACTTCCTCACTGCTTGTTTGAAAGTCTTCTCAAGTTCTAACAGCTCCCTGTGGAGTATTCTCTACTGGCTATTGTTCCTTGCACCAGACCATTGTTAAGGCCTCCATCAGCCTGTTGAAACATGACATTTTCTTTGTATTAAAGGCTGAATCTGAGGGGCATCTTTAGCTATTTCTAGGTCATTCTCTTCCTCATTACTTCTGCCTTTTCCCTTGGGTGCCATGTTTCAGAGTTCCAGGATGAGACTTGTATTACTGATCTAATCTGGGCTTCCTTCCCTTTTTGGTCCCACAGCCTTAAGGAAAGGCAAGTTAAAAATCTCCTGTTCTTTTTCTTTCTTAAGTAGTTACTGGCAAGGTCTGAGGTCAATACTGCAGAGGCCAACAATTCCTCCTTTATCTTTTCAGTCTCCCCCACCAGGCCATGGCCTCTGCCTGAGACAAATCTTTTGTTTGCAAAGAAGCGGCCAAGCAGCTTCTACAGCTGCTTTTTAAAATTTCAGTCCCTGTTCTGCTTCCATGGCTTCAAAGTTTTTTCCTAGACCTTCCACAGTCCTTAAAGAATTTCCATACACGTGTGGTGGCAGCCCCCACTGCTTAAGCAGGCATGCTATTTTATACCATTTACAAGACGGCTGCCATCCCGGGATTTCCTCCACTGAACTCATCCACTTAGGTGGTTTCACCCTAGTTATACATCTCTCCACTGCATTATCCATGTTGCTGTCACTAGCCCCAGTAAGCTTATGGGGTTAGCCCATCATGTCCTCTGCTCACACTCTACCCTCACCCAACTTTGCTTCGGTCTTTTTCCCATATCAGAGACACCATCATTGCTCTTCCCAACTACTCAGTTTTGTCATATCCTGTGTATCCTGCCATACTAAGCCAATTGTAAGTTGAATTTACTGCTGGAGGACACGTGCTGAACTTTCACCATGACCCCCTCCTCCCACTGTCCTTACAACAAACCAACACAATATTCCCCCAAACTAGTTTAGGGAACAAAGGTATTTATTGGGCTTACTAACAGAGCATATGATGGCAGTAAGGGGGTACTTACAAAAGTATGGGCACCCTTGGACTGTTTTTTGGGCAGATCCTTGGGATTACAGGTAAGCACTATTAAAGTTTCATTCAGTTAGATGGTTATGGACATGGCTAACATTTTGTCCACTGTGCATCCTCCAAGTTAGCTCCTCTTATATCCTGCTGATTTACTTACAATTTCCAAATTCCGAAAGCCTAACAGAGCCTCACTCCAAGCAACTTCAGTTGGAGAAATCTGACTCAGCAATTGCTTTGAGAATTACTTCCAAAACCTGTCCTCTTACCTGTCTTATAGACTTTTCCTCTTTCCTCAAACCTAGGCGTTGTCATAATTTTTACAAATTCAAGATCCCAATTTCTTTAAAGTTCCTTTTCTTGATGTTTGAGGTATTTTATGCCCTCTTCCTATCTCTTTTGTATACCACCTCTAAACACATCTTAAAATGCAAGCTGTAGTACACATATCAAAGAAGTGGGTGGAAAAGCACTCAACTTCATTTATCTTTTTGGTCTTTTTTGAGACAGGGTCTCCCTGTAGCCCAAGCTGGCCTCTACCTCACAAACATCCGCCTGTGTCTGCCTCCCAAGTGCCGGGATTAAAGGCATGCACAACCATGCCTAACTTCAACTAACTTTTGAGACTGCAGGGAGTCTCACAATGCATGGTGGATTTCAAAATGACTGGAATAGAATATTAAAGTCCAAATACATGAGATGACTAATGACTGAAGAATATTACTTTAATATAATTCATATTATATATACAGATGACCACAATATACCCTATTAAGGACAAATTTAAAAATACATTTTATGCACATGTAGTCTTGGGTCCCAGTTCCAGTTTATAATGTGTAGAGTTAGGGACTAAGAATTTGTATCTCTAAGAAATTAAATATTCTACTTATCACTGGCTTGGCGTAGAAGGAGGAGGACAAAATTCATATGATTCATGTCTGATCCCTACAATCTTAATCTTTTACCAGGAGCATGTTCTAGATATTCTGGTGTGTGACTATTTTAACCAAGTCTCCAGCTAACCAAGAAAACACAAATAACTATGCTGCTATTTGATTACAGGTTTGAGCACACACATTTACAAAATATGACACTATCTGAAGGCAATGGAAATCTTTATTATTTCTTGCACTGATGAGGATTCTGAGATTTCTTTCAAGGATCTATAGAGAAACAGACTCTAAAAGTTGTCAAATCACAAGTGGTGAGTTTTTAATAGACTACTATAATCAAAACCATCCAGGCAAAAGGACTACATGTTTTAGAAAACTATTTTCTAACAAAACATAATATAACATTTGCTGCTGGTTACCAGTTTTCCATGCAATGTGCCAGTGTTTTAAGGAGGCTATTCATTTAACTGTCAAACAAGCAGTACAGAATAGTGGATACAAGGCACAAAATGCAAAGTCAAGGTGCCTGAATCTGCAATCTTACTCCTCAACATGCTGTTTTCAACCCTGGGAGAGTTAATCAGTGCCATAAACCATCTTTCTCACCAGTAGTATAATGCAACCTACCTCATGGGTTAGCCATGAGCAGTTTATGCTCTTAAGAGTAGTGCCTAGCCCATTCCTGTTGCATGTCTGTCATTAACATGTCTACCCAATATGCCAAATAATGCACTAAAAAATGAATATACATCAGCTGGTCAAAACAGAAATAGCCAAAATAACATTCAGGCAGCAAGAGAATACAGACAGTAAGAAATAATAAACATTAATATAATCATCCAATGTCTTTGCTGTAGCGAAGAAAGTATCTTATATTTGAGAGGATTCCCTTTTCTATGTTTAATCACTCATCTGTAATTATCAAAATGTTACTAAAAAGATGTTACAATCTAATCATTTGAACAGCATATTTGCTTAGTGGAAAATCAAGCTACTTTGATCCATAATCTTTAAGTGACACACAATGTTTAAAGATCATTAATGAAAATAAAATCTTTGGAAATTTATTCTTGAAAAAAATTCTACGAACTCCATGCAAGATAGGTATTTTAGGAATAATGCTACAGGTATAAGGCCATAGGCATCTACTATTAATTAAAAGGCCCATGCAAGATCAGATGAATTGCAGCTTTAAGAACAACAAAGCAGCAGTCAGGGAAAAACATGACCTACCTATCAGACAAAAGAAATAGAAAAACCTACAGGTACATTCTTTTAATACCAAGTTGGACTTAACAGCTTACATTTCAGAATGAACTCATGAAATGATACCAGTAAATTGCCATAGATGATCTGCAACGAAACAGCACAAAACAACCCATAATGCTCATACAGAAAAATGTAGAGCTGTTGAAACAACAGAAAACAAAATTGAAGCTCAAAATATCTAACCAAGTGCCTCAGCTGGACATCAGATCTCATAATGAACTTTTAAGGTTTATTGTGGGAGTGTCTAAGGCCTAGTTTTCAGTGCAATTTTTTTTACTTATTTTATGTGTATGAGTGTATTGTCTGAATGCATGTAAGTGCACCAGTGTCATGCAGTGCCCGCTGCAGAGGTCAGAAGAGGGTGTTAGATCCTCCTGGGACTGGAATTACAGGTTTCAGTCACCATGTAGGTGCCTGGAATCAAACCTGGGTATTCTGCAAGAGCAGCCCAGAGCTGAGCCATCTCCCTAGCCCCCAGTGTAATCCTTTTTTGAAAAAAAGATTGTGTGTGTGTGTGTGCCCATGGAGGCCAGAAGAGGGTGTCAGATGCCCTGGGACTGGAAGAGGTGGCTGTGTGCTGCCAAGCATAGGTTCTGGAAAGCAAACTCAGATCTTTCACAAGAACAGCAAGGGCTCAACAGACCTGGTGGTTGCATGCCTTTTAATGCCTTTAATAATCCCAGCACTAGGGAGGCAGAGGAAGGTGGATCTCTGTTAGGCTCAAGGCCAGCCTGGTCTACACAGTGAATTCCAGGTCGGCTGGGGCTAGAGAGAGACCCTGTCTCAAAAAAATAAGATACCCGCCCCCAAAAGTAAGGGCTCCCCCAGAGTAATCTTTACTAACAAGGGGGTTAAGAACAGTCTCTCAACAGTCCTTCAAGATATTTGAAAGAAATGTTTTAATGGTCCTCTTCACTCTAATGAACAATTTATTTAAAGAACACCAAAAAGCCATACTTAATAAAGATTAAAATTCCTAGCATAAAATATAAATGATAAAACAGGAAGTCTATCGCTAGTAGAGTTGCTTCAAAATTTACATTATCCACAGACATCTGATTTCAATTCATGCTTTAATTGTGCTACTGGTTAAGCAAGATAGGTCTCAAGAACTACCCATTGAAAGTTCCACTAAAAATAGCTAAAATTTAACATTCTTCTTTAATATGTCATTCCAAGGCTAATGTCTTAGTTTTGTAAACATTCTACAATTATGCAAGATTCTAACATGGGGTGGGGGGGAGGATATATACTAAGTATAAAGCATTTGTACTATTTTTATAATTCTGCTAGCATAAAATGGTCTCAAAATAAGAGATTAAAAAAGGTCAACTTAGGATATTACTTCCTTTGTAGAAGTAAAACAGCTATGCAAGATAAATATTTTAAGTTTCTCAAAGTATGTATCTAGTTTTAACTGCTTTGGTACAGTTAATTATTAAGAAAAAATATGTATCTATGGAAATAAGTTCTTAGATAACAAGTATTTTTATTAACTTTTCTTAACAAACTGACAGTAAAACATTCTTTCCAACAAATATCATTTAAGTATAAATTTCACTTAATTTTTTATCTGAGCAACATTTAGATGTTCTTAAAATAAAGCAAATTAAATGGTCACAAATTAAAGATATTACACAGCAGTATTAAAAAATAAAATAGTGCAGTGCAGCAAAGTCTGAAGTTAGAACATTTCACTTTAATAGTGCCATCCCAACCGATTAGATACTGTTCATGGGGAAACAGCCTTAAGAAAGAAGTGATAAAAAAGGTATAATTAGTATTGTGAATCAAACTGTTTCAACTTCTTTCTTCAAATTGTAAGCAAAATCTCATGCTTCTAAATGAACCTTTAACTAGACAGGGGTTCTATTTGGATCCACGTATTATTGCCCCAAATTTTTTGCCATGTTCCTTCATCATCAAAGCTTGACAGCAAGATTTTTTTTTTAAACTGTTGCAGAGCTAGATAATATCTTTAACACTTATGTGCCAATACTAGAATGATATATACATTTATTTATTAAAATAGTACTTTGGCCATAATGAAAACTTCTTTGTAAGAATTCCATTAATAACAAAAGGTTTGGTAAGGAAATACCTTTTGCTTTCATTTTTTACCTATATACGTTTAATATGGAAATTTATTATGTTCTGACAGAGTTTTGGCCTTTATAACATTTTAGTTTTTTCCTCGAGATCTGCCTCAAAAAATAACTTATTCATTAATGGATCCAACAGGCATAAATAAGAAATTCTGTATCATCTATAATTAATTCAAGAAGCACAATATGTAACTAACACTATCAGTAAAACTGTCACTCTTCATGAAAGCCTTAAATAAATCCAAAGACTTAAGCTACCATATTTACTTAATGGTAACAGGTACCCTAAAGTACAGTTTATGCTTTTAGTTTTCCTACAGTGCACTAATTTTTTTGCTGCCTTGACCAAAGCATGTAACAGAAACAACTTAAGGGAAGAAAAGTTTATTTTGGCTCATGGTTTCAGAGGGTATAGTCCATCATTGCCCAGAAGGCACAGTGGCAGGAACATAAGACACAGATTCTTTCTATGGCCCTGACCAGAAAGCTAGGAAACCAGGCTAGCAGGGTGTAGAATCTTCAAAGGTCCAGCCCAACCTCCTAAAGGCACCACAGCTTTCAAGTTGGTGCCATAAACTGAGGACCAAGAGCTCAAAACATGAGCCTGTGTAGGGGTGTTCCAGATTCAAACCCCAACAGATACACCTTAATGAATTTCAACAAAGTTTTAGGTTTATAATTTCAAAGATAGAGTTTTTCATGAGGGACACCAGATAATCACTAACGGTTTAGACTATAAATCAAGCACAATTTAGTCAAAACACCATAAAGACTTTTATGTGATTTTTAAACATTATTGCCTATCCTTATGAAATGGTGAATTTTAACCAAATTAATAATTCTGTAATCTTAATTATGTTCCCTACAAATTATACTGCTTGGCAAGTAATATGGGTATTGAAGTAATCTTTTGAAATTAAATTAACTGCAAACATAATTTTCTAGTCAGTGTATGCATCCTTCTTTATCTACTGAACTGCTTCAAAATTAGTCCTAGAAAAAGTAACCACCTCGCAGGAAAAAATACTACTAGAATTTTCACCTTTTTCTTAAAGATTTTCAAGTATTGTAGGAACAGAAGTCCATAGAAAACCAATTCAAATTTGACCTTGCTTTACCTAAGGTATGGGATAACAGGGATATCAGGGAAAAACAAAGCAAAACGTAACAAACAAACAAACAAAACCCAACCAACCAACCAAACAAAAACAACAATGTCCCCTTTTCTTTCTCTGCCTAGAATCGTTTAGCCTAAGATTCTTGCAATCATGTTTATGGGTTCTTTTCCCGCTTCCTCAAGTATGGGGTAACAATTATGGTCCTACTAGTGAGGAGAAATGAATAACTGACATTTGGAACTCCAAAGAAAATGGGAGGCACAAAAATTTAACTGACTTTGGCTTTTAAGAACATCATGATGACCCTAAAATGCCACATTCAAAAACAAAGATTATATCAGCAAGCTACTACTTCACCACACATTAAGAACTCTGCAACAGACAATAGCTTTCTGTTTCTCTTCCAATCAATTTGCAATATCTTTTTGTTTCTCCTGCTTTTTGGTTGTAGGCAGTTCAAGACTGGCCCACTGCATGGGTTCAGCCTTTCTCATGGTGATCTCAATCTTGGTTGCAGTCATAGTTACATAACTTCGCTTAACATCAATCACCTGTAACACACCAAGAGTAAGCGTGAGCTTGGTGCTTTTGTTGGTCTCAGAGAAACACATATCTTGCTTATGTTAGCACCAAAGTCAAGCCCTGGTGGCTATTTTTATGCAATTTAAGTTTGGTAAGACATGTTAATGTTACATTCATGAACTTTCCATTAGTAAGGGACATTTTTTATTCTAAAAATGTGATCAGAAAAAAAATTGATGGATTTATAATACTTACACCCCATAATTTCACATTTTGATGAAATTCCTTCTCTCCTTCAAATACAATGTGTACATTTAACTGAAATACATAAAGTTGTTATTTTCTTGGTGCTGGGTATTGAAACACACTAAGCACACACTGTAACACTGAGCCACACATTAGTCAACGTGATTAAATGACTATGATAGTTAATCTTGGTTGTCAACTTTAATATACCTAGGAAGGGGGAACCTCAAATTGGGGAATTTTCCTCCATCAGATTTGCTGGCATGTTTGTTAGGGGAATTTTCTTGATTACTAATAGATGTAGGAGGGCCTAGCCCACTGTGGGCACTGTCATCCCTGGGCAGGTCGGCCTAGGCTGTATAAGAAACCCAAGAGCAAGCCAGTAAGCAGAATTCTCCATGGTCTCTGCTTCAGTTCCTGCTCTGCCGTTCCTCAGGGATGAACGTTACCTGGAAATGTCAGATGAAACAAATCCTTTCCTCCCCTAAGTTGTTTTTGGTCATGGTGTTTTATCACAGTAGGAGACAAAGCAAACTAATATACTGATCACATTTACTGAAGGTTTGTAAAATAGAACACTGACTACACATTTACTGAAGGTTTGTAAAATAGAACACTGACTACAAGGTCTGATATTAAATTAAGCTACAAGAAAATGCCAACAATGTGGGTTATTTTTCCCTCTATCATTTAAGAAAATGACTACAAAAAAAATTAACTAGAAGGTTCATACTAAGAACTCTTCTAAGCTACTATACTTCTAGAATACTTCAGAACAAACTCTATTTTATACTGTGATTTTTACTTAAAATACTGTTTATAAGAAATTCCTATGTAATTATTCTCATCAGAAAATAAGAACTTTCATAAAACACTAACATGTAAACTACGCCAAGATAATTTTCTATTCAGTTATTTAATGTACTTACCAATGTACTATTTGCTTCTACTTGGCTAAGTTCTGGAAGTGAGTTTTTAGCATATACTGAGATGGTGACTTCACCCCCAGTTTGGTGCCAGTCATGTCTACATGGAACAACTTTTTTCCCCTGTAATATAAGAAAAGCTCTGCAATCTTAAAAACTGCCATATAATGAACATCTTCAAAAGAATCGACTCATCTAATAGAGGAAAAACTACTAGGCACAACCAAGCATTGCATGTCTTTGGGGCAACAACTCCAACAGTTTCCACCAATAGGTTAAAGAATAAAATGGGATGCTTTTTTATTGGTGGTGGGGGGGTCTTGAGACAGATTTCCCTGGGGCCCCAGCAGGCCTGGAATTTACTACCGCTACCTCTGCCTCCCCAGTGCTGGGATTAAAGCAAGTACCACCACACCCAAAAATACAAAAATACTTTAATAGTTTATGATTTGAAAACACCCTCATTCCTCTAATTTGGCTTTTCTTCTTTAGCTACATTATTACTATACATTTAGAAAGGTAATTTAAGAAGATTTTAACATCCTATCTATTAAATCTACTAAGTACTGTCATAAAAACATGCTTTTAAGACAAATGAAAAAGGCATTTATTTGTTTAGTGGGATAAACAAGACAATACTGTATCTCATGCATAAAAACCTTGTGTTAATTTTCCATTAAGTAAGATTCTGCAGGGAGAAAATAGTTGCTGGGACTGGGATCAAGATGGCTCAACTGCTATAGTGCCTGCTGTGCAAGCTTGAAGACACAAGTTCAGATCCCTGGCACCCACATAAAAGAATCCAGATGTAGTGGTGTGCATCTATCACCCTAAAGATGAGGAATGGAAACAGGATCCTAGGAGCTTACTGGCTAGTCAGTCTAGGCTTAAGAAGAGACTGTCTCAAAATGTAAGTTTCAGAGTGATAGAGGAAGACACTCAACATTGACCACTTCCTTTCAAACCCAGGCACACATACAAAACACGCACTACACACACACACACACACACACACACACACACACACACACACACACACGGTTGTCAACTAATAACTATTTCTTGCTTATGATCACTAAATTTTCTTGTTCTCTTGTATGTGCATGCAGAAAATGTGAGAATTTACAGAAATCACCTTTTGATTGCTACTATGGAAATGGCCAGTGTCCTTCAGTGTTTTACTATTACATCAATGGATTTTTTTTTGTTTTGTTTTGTTTTTTTAAAGCAAATGGTGATTTGTTTGTATTGTCTGTGCTTTTTGTTTGTCTCCCTGTAGCCCCGCCTGGCCTGGAACTGGCTACTTAGATCCCGCTGACCTTGACCTCTTTAGTGGGATTAAAGGTGAGCACCACCACACCCAGCTGCTGATTTGTTTTGTGAGAACAATTTAACCACACAATTCAAGAAACTCTGGGATACTATTATTGAAAAAAAGATACAAGCAAAAAGCATAGTTCACTAAGGATTATACTCTTAAAAACTTAAAAAAAATATTTTATTGATTTTTATTTTTTATGCGTATGAGTGTATTGCCTGTATATGTATAAGCACACCCATGTTGTCCAATGCCCACAAAGGACAGAAGGTGGCTTTGGAAACCCTGGAACTGGAGTTATGGATGGTTGTTAGCTGCCATGTGGGTTCTGGGAATCAAACTCAGGTCCTCTGCAAAAGCAGGCAATGCTCTTAACCTATGAACCATCTCTCCAGCCCTGGATTATACTCTAAAATATTTTTAAAATAGTAAACATTTTTTTTCCTAAGTTAAACTTTTAAGGTTTTTGACCTCAAAGAAAACAATACATAAGCATACCTTGCTTTTTGGTAGGTAAATATTCCCAGAATTTTTGTGGTTAATGAATTATTTTAACTATATGTCATTAAAAAGCAACAACATTGGGATACACACACATTGAACACAATCTAAACTAAACCAAAAGTTTATTTTTAAGTTAAAAGGTGTAAGTTTTATGAAACAGAAAGGTTCACTACATGATGTTATTAATGAGAACATATCCTAAAAGACTACTTTATGCAGCATGTTTAAAATAAATAGCAAGAGCTAACATACAAAATCTAGTTAGCAAAAAATTGATTTCCTTCTTAAAACATCAAGGGCTTTTAGAGACTTATATGCACAGCCCTAAGTCTTTAAAATTCTACCCAGTAGGAACTAATGTTCAACAACTCCTTCTCTTTTTTCCTCCCTTGATAATTTCCCAATTGCAAGCACAAGCAGTGACATCCAAAAGAATTTCATCGTAAGAGTCTAGAATGATTCTCTTTGGCTACCAGACTGTACGTGTGTGTGTGTGTGTGTGTGCGTGTGTGTGTGTGTGTGTGTGTGTTTGAATCAAGTTTTAAGTGGCCAAAAAAGAATCAGAGGCCTAAATTTTGGTTTAATAACAACAAATTAACAGTTAAGTGATTTTTAAAAACAATTTTAGAAGTGAGAAAAGGCTATCAAGCTAATTTTAAAAGAACAGACAAAAATCCTTCAATGCGCGAAGGTTAAACGTTTTACCAAAATTCACATAGCTGCATCAATACAAAGGATATTTTGTTCAACAGGCAGTTTTGACAGGTTGATTTAGATTAATTTTATTTTATCCATGCTAATAATGCTTTACCCTGTCAGAGAACAGTTTTTGTATTCTGAAAGCCTACTAATCTCAGATCCCTTAAAAATAACTTTGATGAATATAAGTCAGTGTGTTATTTTGAAAAGGTTACTTACAGCATCCTTTTTTGTCCACACATGTTTCCCTGTTGTACAGCCCTCTTGGGCCAAGAATGTATTAAAATCAGAGGTTTTTCTTCTACAACAGCTCCAATATTTCATCCTTTAGACAATGAATAAAATCCAGTATTATTATTGTGATTAAAAAACAAAAGCTGAAACTTGTAAGTAACTTACAAGTTATTAAACAATTTAAATGAGCATATATCAGGAAAATAATTTAAAAAATCAGGGTGTCATTTAACTTTGTAGCTTTTGAGTAAATCACAAAATTCCAAGATAACAACTAGTTTCTCATTAAGAGCACACATGTCAGTTCCCTCATGAAACCACCAAACGTGATATGGCCAAAGATTTATGATCTTCCCACTTCAATAATCCAGTAGTGAACATGAAACAATTAAAAACCAGTGTTTACCTTCTCAAAGAAGGTAAAACCACTATCACCAACTTCAGAAAATATCCTACTCTAAGCTTTAGCCTGAAGCACATGGAAACTAAGATTCTAAGATAGTGATGCTTCTATATATAAACTATATCACAATATACAGACTCCAACTTGAAAGCTATGGGAAAGTATGAACTTTCTTGGATAATGATGCTTTCACTGCCCCATGGTCAAAAATCCTAACTGTCCTACAAAACATAAGCCTTACAAAGAAAACTAACTTAAGCCAGAAGCATGGTGGTATAAGTCTGCAATACTGGTCCTCAGGAAGCTAAGGCATGAGGATTCTGAGGTGGAGGACAGACCCTACCACCTAGGTAAGACACTGCCTCAGATTAAAAATAAAAAAAAAAATTAAGTCCAGATAAGGAAGTCATCACAATGTAGTCACAATGATTACTTAAAAAAAAAAAAAAGAAAAAAGAAAAAAAGTGTTATTTTTCTCCCGTGTTAAAAAAGGCAATCCCCTATTAGATTATAAAGATTAAATGGTAATGTAGATAAATGTTGTACATAAAAAATTATCTACATTTTTCTACATTCAAGCTATTAAGGTTTAACATTTCTAATCTCTAATACAAATATTTTAGTCATGCAAAAGTTACCCTTCATGGAAAATAGGCACTCCAGAATGATAGACACAGACTTCATCTAGACTTTGTAGACCCTGGTATGTCTAAAAAAGAGAAAGAAGAAAAAAAAATTAGCTACTCACCTCTCACTTTCATCTTACACCTATCTGTAATGTTTACCCCTATGAACTTTGCAAAATACTCAAAAATAACAGTAGTCACCAAGAACTCTGGAAAATTCATCCCAAGACATTCAATTAAGGAATGGAAAATGAACCCCTTTTGGGCATGGTTAAACTTTAGGTCCCTGTGAGGAAAGCAAATAGAACAGTATTACGAAGCTTTCGGCCTTTTTAGGCATGAGGTCCCAGTCAACTATATTCAAGGATTTAAATTTACAGAAACATGTTGAAGTCAAGGGACTCAAACTCTCAACAGAAATACAGTTGCAGCATGATTTATGTGTACAGTACACTCTGTGTGGGCATTATCAATTAGTATGAGAAATCCAATAAGCAACTGTGGAATTTTTAATGGAATGGTGATTTCTTATTCCCTACAAATGGTAAAATGAGCTGCAGACCTATATATACATCCATGGTTTGTCTGGAAGATCCGGGCCCCATTGCTGCTGTAGGTGAAGGCTCTACAGATGAATTCACAAAAAGTTATGTTAATAAAACATGGATGCAGCTGGTAATATGTTCTCTATTTTTGTATTCATATTAACTACAAGTACAGAAGATAAAATTGGTGTTTGCTTTTTGTAAGTACGAAGTGCTAGGTTTATTTATCTCCATAAGCACGTAAATTCCAGGATGTTTGAATCTGAACTTATCATTTATCACCTAAATCCATTTCTCATTTTATTTGATGGCACCAACTCCACTTAAGTCTTCTAAAGCAAAATCAGTCTAAGTCCCCTCAGTTTTTCCTTTACCTCTGTGAAGATATCATTAAAATCCTGCCAATCTCACTGAAAATATCAATTTAACTTCTCAGAAACTAGAAAATTTGAGGCAATCATAATGTACTGTTTCCTACAAACTCATTTTCTACTCTTTCTCTTCTCCTCTTACTATAATTACATAATTATTGTCATTCTCCTTGAAAAGTCCTTCGATTAAAAGCACCTCACACCTTCCATCATTATCAGTTTTCAGTGTTTCACACATTTAAATGAACCTCTGCATGAGAAAAGAGCCATAGCTCAGAAATAAATATTTCTGAAGACATAACATTAGTAATAAAGGAAAAAGTTGGGAAACTTCATTTCATGGACATTTAAAGTCCTTCTGTTTATCAATGACATCATTACGATGGCAAAGAGACAAAGTATCTTTGACAAAAAATTTGCAGATAAAATCTACAGATTTCCTTCAAAATTGGTAGAAAAAGACAAAAAGAATAGGAAGGAAAAAGTAATTGCAGCACAGTTAAAAACAGCTTTCATAAAGCAATGAAAAGGGCAGGACCCTGGTTATATGCCACAAATAAACTTAAAAAATAAGTGAAAAAAGACAATTAAAAAAAAAGGACAAGTTTTATGATTTCTTTAACATTAACTTCAAAAAACAGGCCAAAACTAATCAATATTGATAGAAACCTCTGAAGAGAAAATATAAGAGTGACTTAAGGCATGCTTCACAGCACTACGTGCTCACTGTGGAAGCCCTTCAGTTTTAAACTTGTATTTGCGTAAGTCTTAACAAATTTCAATAAAATAAACATTTCCTCAATGGCATCTATAAAGATTTAACTTCCCATCACTAGATGCTCTTATATTGTTTATCTCTTAATTTCAATCCACATGAATAAACTATATTGTGACATTCCATTATTTCTTTTCTTTGTAGGACTGCCATCAGCTCTATCACTGTATCTCCTCCCTCCCCATTTTCAGTATTTTCAGTTTTCAAAACTCACCTGAAACCTGCTCTGTGATCTTGCTCTAGTAATGCTGCCATCTATACACCTTTCTCACTCTAGAATTAATGATTCCCTTTCATCTACTACTTCTACCTCATACATAGGAAGTTGCAGTTGCAATCTGATTCCTATTTTAGTAACCAAGATAATTTCAAATCTCATGGGAGGAAAAATAAAAACCTGTATGTACCCCATCTTCACTCTTAATTAATGGTACTGTAACTGGCCTGGCAGGGATGACGGTATTTTTTGAAGAGATGTCTGTGCCCCTTATTTTAGCTATCAGACTACTGAAACAATGAACTCCAAGAAACTGGAGTCCTCCCAGGACCTCATGCAGAGAGAAAAGAACGTTTAAAGCTTGGGCCAGTCAGAGGGGAAAGGGAAAGAAGAGACAATGAGTCAGTAGAGGCCTGGAACACACCTTGACTGGGACTGCTTAGATATGTACATACTTGGTCCTATATTTAGACAGACTTGGAGACTTGGGAGGAGGGGTCTGCTGGATCATTTCTCTTCTGAATGTGGGCCCAATAAATAATTTTTTTTCTTTTCATTATTATTTTGGCTTATCAAAGATGGGTGGCTCAATCTTGCTTCTTGTGGCACAGGTTATGACCCTAAGTCTTGTAATCATACTAACAATTGCCCAGATGATTGAATTACATACACATTTGCTCTGCACTGAACACTGTCACAAGCTTTCGAGATAAAACAAAAGGCAAATTAAAACCCTATCTTCATAAACCTTACCATGAGACAGGGGGTAAATGGTAGACTGAGTCAAAGGAGGTTAAGAGTGAAATGGAGAAAGAAGCATTAGTAGAGATGGAGGCTATGCACGCATTCAATCACGTCTTAGCAACTTATTCTCCAAAAGAACACTGCCTGATCTACAACAGTAACCAACCTAGCTTCTCTTCTTCCAATTCTACTTCTGTTCAATCAGTGCATGTTTATGGTTTGTGACAGAAATTGCTAGAGACAGGTGTGGGGCCTTTAATTCCAGCATAAGCAGGAGGAGGGAGATAAAGACCAGCATGTGAATTTCAGGCCGGCTGGGGCTAGCAACAGGGAGATCGTTTCAAAAAACAAATAATATAAAAATAAATAAATAAAACGAACAAACAAAAACCCACCTCTCCTCCTGAACTAGTTAAGGCAGTACATACCTATAATCCTAGCACTCAGCTGAGGGAAAAGTTTGAGGTCAGGCTGAGTAAGATTTGTCTCAAAAACCAAACCAAACCACCTTTAATCCCAGCACTGAGGAAGGAGATAGATCTCTATGAGTTTGAGGCCGGCCTTGTTCTCCTAGTAATTTCCTGGCCAGCTAGGGGTACATAGTAAGACCCTGTCAAAAACAAAACATTCCTAAAACAGGTAATGGCTTACCATCATACTCTAAGGTTAGCCCCAACCCTCATTCTGGTTTAAGCCCTCCACTATCTTGCCTACTTCTTTACCCACTCCTCTCATACTGTTGCCCAAGTCCCATGACCCTGTCACTCCCTCTGAGAAGCACAGCTTTTTAAAGCCTCTCTACATGAGTTGCTCCCTCGATGAAGAGCTTTCCTGCCCCAAGTTTATGACTCATTCCCTATCTAGTGCCACATCAAAAAGACTTTCACTGACAAATCTTACTTAAATAGCTCCCAACTAGAACTATAGTTGCTTGGTCTGCTTTATTTACAACCATGTCTACCCAAATTAATTATTTAATTGCCTATTTTTAACCTTCTGCCCACAGTAGAATATTTGCCCCTTAAGAACAGAGGTTTCTCTTTTATTTGATACTATTATCTCCAGCCCCAAAACAATGTCTAGAACATATTAACTGCTTTAAATGTTAAACAAATGAAATTTATTCCCATAATTCCACTGATGTTTCTCTCAGAAAGTCTCTTACCGTGTTTGTAGCCCCAAACTTTAGCAAAGTATCCAACATGTAACAAGCATACAACTATTTGCTAAGTTTGGAGAGTTTAGAGAGTCCTTTGATTCAATATTAAAATTTTATTTTGTAACATCTGAAGCTTTATAATATATACCTTTGAACACCCTCCATTTTTACAAGAGGTCCCAATCTTAACTTCATCACTGTCTTCTTCTGAAATGAAGAAAAGAATAAAATAAGATTTCATCACTATCCTCTTTTGAAACGGGGGAAAATGTAAAATATTAAATAAAATGCCACTGTTGTGTTATTCTTAGAATGTTTCCTATGAAATAATTCCTATTTAAGGAAAAAAGAAACAGAAAGGAAAGACAAGGAATTCACAGCAGCAGGTGTGTTATGCACGCACATTTGTAATCCCAACATTTGGGAGTCTGAGGAAGGATGATCATGAAATCAAAGTCAAATGCGATTACATGGCAAGACTGAGGCCAGCCTGAGCTATAAGGGCAACATCTTATATCCAAACCAAACCAAACCAAACCAAAAGTATCTTATTATTGTCTATACTTTGCAAATAACATATAACACACTTTCATTCTATAATGCAATGCTTTATTCAATCTTTTTTCTTTTCTCTTTTTTTTTGATCTGTTTTGAGACACCGTCTCCCTGTAGCCCCAGGGGGCCTGGAACTCACTATGTAGACCAGGCTGGCTTCAAGCTCACAGATATCCCCCTGCCTCTGCCTCCCAAGTGCTGGGATTAAAGGCATGTGCCACCATGCCCAGCTGCTGTATTCAATCTTAATGAAATCTTATGTTCTCTTGTAAAAGAGAAATCATGAAAGGATATTTTTGTCCCTTGATATTAAGCATAGGTCATATACATGATACACAAAGAAAAATTTTCAATTATCAAAGAAATTTAATTGTGAAAAGAATTAAATAAGGAAAAAAATTTAACAGATGATTAGTATTTGGGAATAAAGTAAGTTCTTTACTACAATCTACATTTTCACACATTCAGTGAACTACTGCTATCTCTTTTGAATGGCTCCATACTTATACAGAAAGACATAATAAAACAAAACAGTATCTTACCCTTTTTATCTTCTTCATTCCCTGATGACAGTTTAAGTTTATCAAGTGCTTGTTTTAGGGAAGCAGATATTTTTAACTCCAAATTTGTCATTGGTTCATCTGGGCTAGAGAATTTTGAAGCCTTATTACCATTATTAATATACAAAAATATTTCTTTGTACTTAAAATTGATAACCTTAAAAAACATCCTTGTGAAATGTTAAATTATTTGTGTGTATCAAGTTATTCTTAGAAGTATTTTACAAATAATTGTTATAACCACTACAATTTAGGTCTTAACAGAAATGGTTTCTCTATTAAGAATCTATTTCAAATATTCATATTATTGCCACAATTTTATGACAAAGCATCATGAGTAGTGTACAACCATCACATTCTTCTAATATTTCATAATGGTTAAGTTTTGTATATATACCTTGTTTAATCTTATTCAAAGTCAGTATTGAGCTCATTAATAAATGCAACAATAAAAACAAGTCATAGGTCACCACAGTAATGTAAGAGACTTAAGAACACTTCTGTTTTTCAACTGGCTACCCTACTGTTTAATAGTCTTTCAACACTGAATTAATATAGGTAGAATAAAATCACTTTGATCTTTTTAAAAAAATATGGTATTTATTATTTTTATGTATATGCATGTATTGCTTAAATATAGCTAAGTGCACCCATGTCATACAATGTCCACAGAGGACAGAAGAGGCTGTTGGATCCCCTGGAACTGGAGTTATGGACAGTTGTTAGCTGCCATGTGGGTGCTGGGATTTGAACTGGGTCTTCTGCAAGAACAGTCACTGTTCTAAACTGCTGAGCCATCTCTCCAGCCCCACTTTGATCTTTTTAAAAAACATTTTTCTGTGTATTGAGTCTTTTGTCTGCATGCTTGTTAAGTGCACTCATGTTGTACACTGTCTACAGAGGCCAGATGAGGGAGTTGGATTCCCTGGAACCAGAGTTACAAATGGTTGTTAGCCACCATGTGGGTGCTGGGAATGGAATCAGATGCCTATGCAAGAGCAGCCAGTGCTTTTAACCTCTGAGCCATCTCTCCAGGCCCAATTATTCTGATCTTTACAGTCTGTATCTAAAAATATTAATGAGCAAACATCAAAAGTCAGGATACTTATCTTGATCCTATATTACATGTTGTTCTATTAATTTATTTAAGCAAAATCAATAAAGTACAAGTTGGGAGGGCTGGAGAGATGGCTCAGTGATTAAGAGCACTGGCTGCTCTTCCAAGGGACCTGGGCTTGATTCCTAGCACCCACAGAGGAGCTAACAAGTGCCTGTAACTTCAGTACCAGGGGATCTAAGACCCTCTTCTGACCTCCGAGGGCTCTGCTTGACATGGGTGCACTCACATACATGCAGGCAAAACACTCATACACATAAAAACAAACAAAAAAATTTTTAAACAGAACAAAAAGAACACGTTGGGAATACCATAAATTCATAATAAGAATAAAAATTTCAACTGGTTTCCACTATTTCTCTTTTATTGTACTTTTTTAAATTACCAGAGACACAAATCTGAAGCCCAAATCATGTTTACTTACATTCTGTAGTTTGGTTCTAAAGTAGTCACTACCTAATATGAAGATCTGATTTAATGGACAAACCTAGTAACATGTATGGAAACATATGAAGGAATCTAATTTTACTTCAAAGTAAACAAAAGCTATTTTAAGGCTATTTTGACAGAGAGGCCATCTAAATCAAACAAACTAGTACTAATGAGAATAACTAGTTTTCAGGTACCTGAAAGCAAAGATAAGTGACTAGGTCTCTAGGTGCTTTCGCAATTCAAACTAATTCCCGGAAAGGAATTCATTTCACAGAATTTCCATCACGCCATGAAATGAAAAAGATGTCACCAGAAAACAAAGATGTGCAATTCCCCTATTCTGACAGTATTTGCACCTGTAATTATCAGTAAAATAAATCTATCAACAAGTTTTACTGTGTATATGCACTCAAATAAAAAAGGGTGAGGAAAAAGAAAAACATACATGGTGGCTACTACAAATTCTATTATACAAAATGTTAAAAGGAAATGCCACTGACAAATGTTATTATTAAAGTTACAAATAAAAGCAGATGTATAGAGTATACCTTGGCCTTTTTATTGCTTCTACTGGTTTAGGGGCTTGAATGATATGCTCCTGAAATTTGGGTTTTAATTCAGATAGTTCCTTCTTCTCAGTAGTCTTGACTTCGGGCTTGACTGGTTCAGGTGGCTTCTCACTATTATGCCTACCTTTTGTACAGCCCTGTTAGTGAAATATATGAATTAAGAGTTATGCTTTTATCTACTTCATTTACTTATGAATACATGTTTGTATTTTGGGGATACTGTCTATGTGGCTGAGGCTGGCTTGTCAACCATTTTGAAGCCAGCCTTCAAAAATTATTTATATATGCCAAAGTTATTTATTTAAAAAGGTCTCAGGCTGAAATCTAAGCTTTCAAGTGCTTGTCTAGCATGTACAAAGCATTGGGTTTGAGTCCCAGCATTGCATAAGCCTGGTATGGTGCCAGTTATAATCTCAGTACTTGGTACTTGGAGGCAAAAGCAGGAGTTCAAGGTCATCCTTGGCTACAAATAAACTACAAGGGACACTGTCCTAGAACAAAACAAAATGCAAATCAGGGGGTATCAATCTGAGTTTCAATTTTACCTACTTAATTGAAATATGACCGTAAGCAAGGTATTCTTTTAAAATTTGTTTTCTTATCTACAAAATGGAAATATGGGCTTTCTTTCTTGGTGCCCTATGAAACAATGGTCCATGTCAATGGTATCTTGAGAAACCGTGCCCTTCCTAACTGAAAATGTTTTTAGTTACTGCCTTACACTTCTTTCCTAATGCTCTTTCGAGACTCTAAAACCAAGAATTGAAATGACAAATGAGTAATTAGTACTTTAAAACTCTTAATCTTCAAACTATTTTAGAGGCTATTAAAAAAATGAACTCCCTTTGTAAACCAACGTGTATCCTGATAGCTGAGACAATGGATATCTAGATTCCAGGTGTATGTACTTTTAGGGAAATAACAGAAATAAACTAGTACTTACTACAATGCTTAAGAAGTCAGAAAAATCAGTTGTTCTTCTCTTACAGCAAGACCAACCCTATGAAACAAACAAACAAACAAAAAAACACCCCTGAAAACTGTTTTTTTCCCATGCCTTTTGTACTTATTTCCTTGAATCCTGAAGTTACATAAACAGAATTCACTTTTAACACGATTTATATTATGACCTGTCATCAAAGGAAACACATTAAAATAGAAAATCAGAAACTGCTTCTGTTTAAGAAAAAATATTTTATTATTTTTATTTTATGTGTATGAATGTATTGCCTGCATGTATGTGAGTGTACCCGTGTCATGCAATGCCATGGAAGTCAGAAGAGGGCTTCTGATTCCCCTGGAACTGGAGTTAAGGATGCTTCATAGCTGCCATGTGGGTGTTGGGAATTGAACTCGGGTCCTCTGCAAAAGCAGTCAGTGCTCTTAACTGCTGAGCCATCTCTCCAGCACCCCATTTTATCATTTTTTAAGATATCATCTATTGGACTAGAGACGTGACTCATTATAGCAAGTTTCCTAGCAAGCACAAGACCCTGGGTTTAAGTCCCAATACCCTCCCTCCTCTGCAATTCATATATTTAAAGGACCCAAGAAGTAAAGTTGCTTTACCTGAAAAAAAAAAAAAAAAAAAGGCATTATAATACCACAGAGGCCTATGTATTTGTCTTTGAAGGTAGAGCTAACCTTTCAGCCAGAAGCATAAGCAGACAGAAGCATGAGGTATCTAACAACTATGTTAGGGTTAGGGAGTTAAGAAATTTGGGAAGAACATAGATTCATATGCTATAATGTCCTCTTCCCCAAGGTGCTTGTTATTGTCTTCCAAGTTAAAAATAAGTCAGGGACAGAATACTGGTAATTATCTGCAAAGTTAAAGATGAAACATCAACAGGGCAGCTCTTGCTGACCCAGAGCTAAAAGGTAAGCTTACAGCAATGAATACTGTTGTTCCCTTTATCAAGCATGTATACTAGGTTTTAGGTAATACGGGAGCTCCTAACTGACTAGAAAGTTAAGTGACAATAAAATAAAACTAAATATATCCTCCTTGGTTGGCCAGAATAAGTAGAGGATTGCTTTGACATGTGGAAGACTACATCACCAATTCCTCATTGACCCTCAATAAAAGCCACAAGGAAAGCCAGATCTCTGTGAGTTTGAGACCAGCCAGCCTGGTCTACATAGCAAGTTCTAGGCCAGCTGGGGCTACAGGGAGACTCTGTCTCAAAAGGACCGAAAAAAAAAAAAAAAAAAAGCAAAAGCAAGCTAGAAGGACACTGGTTCTTAGATTCTTTTCTTGCCTTACTTACTCTTGCAAGATATATTATCCTTTCACTGTAGTCTAGCTTCATTATTTAGTTTTTCTTTTGGCTTCCACCTTTTGTCTTGACCTATACCACTGGGAAGAGGTCTAATTATTAGTTGCTTCACTAAAAAGACAGAGACTTTTTATAGTCCACAGTTAACAGTTTACCAAAACTGGCTTTAAGTTATTGTTTCTAATTCCAACACCCTGGGGAATAGGGAAATAAGAATAGAGGGGCCAGAGAGATGGCTCTTGCAGAAGACCCGTGTTCCATACCTTGCACACAAGGTGGCTAACAACCATTCATAAATTCCAGTTCTTCTGACCTGAGGGCACTACACAGCACAGTGTGCTTACACACATGCAGGCAATCGGCTCGTACAAATAAGATAAAAATAATAAAATATCAAAAAAAAAAAAATTCTTGAGTTCCTAAATTCAGATTAAATTCAAATGGGCCCGTTTCTTACAAGGCATAAAAATTTTGGCAGTGCATTTTTTAATATACTGTGCACTTTCAGGTTCCTCTTTTGTTTCTTAAAAGAAAATTTAAATATTTCATAATTTAATTTTTCCTTTACTTGTGAACTTTGTGGTCTCCTTTACTCTAAACTGAGATGTAAATGAACCCAATTACTACAACCTTATAGGCTTTAAAGAGCATTCATACTATACTGAGCAAAAAAAAAGAGCATCTAGTAAGAGAGAATTATGTCAGACACTGGGATATATACTGTGTTAAGACATGTCATAGGGAATGTGTTCTCAGATGCCAATCTGGGTCCTATGCTAGTCCTCAGTAAAAATAAAAACAAAGGATAAATTTAAGTATGAGAACATATGGTTACTAACAGTATTTTCTTGAGAACTGTACGTTTTCTCTGAACAGTCTCCTTTGAACATTAAAATTTTCTTTTGTTGTTAATATAAATTTAACTACTTACTTGGTTAAAGAGAAAACCAGTGGTCTTATACAGATGTTTTTATTCTACCTGAATTTCACTGGGCTATGGAATCCAGCAGTTCTGGAAAGCTCAGGTTTATGATACATATTCAGAAAACACAGACAACAAGGAGGTTGAGGAGATGGCTCAGTCGGGGGAAAACCACAGAAGCATCAGGACCTAACTTCTGGTTCCCAGCACCCATGAATATAAGCTAGATGCAAGGCCTATCTGTAACCACAGCTGGGGGGGGGGGGTAAGGGAGAAAAGTGGGTCCTCGGGGCTCCCTGGCTAGCCAGTCTAGATGTCTCAGAAAGCTCCAGGTTTAGTGAGAGACCCTGCTCAAAGTATTAGATGGGGAGAGATAGAAAATTACAAACATAACACTCCAGTTATCAATTTTTGGACTACCCACATGGGCATGCACAAGCACAGAACAGAGCAAATAAAAACCACATTCTTAAAAGCATTCCTAAATAGTCATTTAGAAAGAAAAATTGGGCCCAGAAAGACAGCACAGCAGTTAAGAACTCAGGCTGCTCTTGCAGAAGACCGGGGATCAGATTCCAGCATCCACATGGCAGCTAACTGCAGTTCTAGGGGACCTGATGCCCTCTCCTGACTTCTCTCGGCATTGTCGAACATGGATACACTTACATACATGCAAGGCAATATGGTCATACACAGTAAATATACTTTTAAAAAGAGAAAGAAAAACTGACAAGCTGAGAAAAATGGTATTATTACATCTTCAAGTTTACTATGCAAGTATGAAGAAACTGAAAAGGTATCTAGTGCCTACCTTCAGTGCATCATGGAAGACGGGAACACCTGGGTGGTATGTGCAGGCATCTGGTCAAAAACAGAAAGGGGAAAAAAACCACACCTCTTTATATAATGAAAAGTGTATACAATATATTTTTTTCCTTCAGGCAGTTATTCCTTAAAGCTTCATTAATCCCTTGTATTAAAAAATAGTAACAGATAAAACTCTAATACTATATACCTAGAGAAAATCACTATAAAACAGTTCAAGAATAACCAATATATTTTATATTCATCCAACTTTTGTAGCGAATTTTGTTTAGTATTAAAACTTTAAGCCTTAAGATTTGGCAATATTTCTTCTTTCTTTGATTCTTTGAAAAATCCATACATGCAAACACTGTATCTTGACGACATCCACTTCCAACTCCTTCCAGATCCCTAACACACCACCCTCCCTTTCAACTACATGCCCTCTTTTTAAATAACCCACCACAGAGTCCAAATTATATATGCACATGGGTATAGGGGTGTTAAGTAACTGCCCCAGCAGAGATCAACTTCCAATAACCTTGGCTTGGGGCAGGGTCTCAGGGAGCCCCTCCTCACTTCATGCTGGAAATTTCTACTTCACAGCACTCCTCCCCATCCTCTGGTCATATTTCAATTATTTTTTCATAAAAAAATCAAGTTTAAGCTAAGTGTACTTATAAAATGATCCATAAAACGTTCTGGGGATTCCCTAAAAAGATTCTGTAAAAATATGCTCAACATTTAAAAAGCTGCTGTAATACCCAACTGCTAAATTAGCATTCCTTTTTTTTTTTTTTGGTCTTTTTGAGACAGGGTCTCCCTGTAGCCCCACCTGTCCTGGAACTCACAGAGATCCGCCTGCCTCTGTCGCTGGGATTAAAGGCGTGGGCCACCACCCACCACGCCTGGCCCTAAATTAGCATTCTTAAACTGGGCCAGTTCCTAGAAATGAACCTTAAACTTCTAGTTTGTTTTTAGGGTTGACACTGATTATTCTGTATTCCTGTCTATTTCCACAGTAATCAGTTCGAACTTAAGTCTTATAAAAAATAATTTATTACAACTAGCAATGTAAAATATTTTATTTAAAGTCATCAAGTCACAGACACACCTATTCCCTGGCTATGTATGCAGTATCATGAGTTTAGAAGAAACAGACTTCATTTCTCTGTACTCTTCCCACCTCACTCAACCCTTCAAGTTTAATTTTTATTTTTCTAGAATCTGGATCCTGGTGTTACCTTGAAATGATTACTTCCTCATAACCCAAGAAATCTCTCTATCCTCTAGCTGATGTTACTTTCTTAGTAAGTGCTAGCTACATACAAATATTGAATCTAATGTACAGTCACAGGCATAAAATATATAATGTATACACACAGCAGGGCATAAAAAAGTCCTGTGATAGAATGACAGCAGGAATGAGTCAGATCTTAACCATGTAACTAGCAGGAGAAAAATTTGAAAACCACTGCTTTCAAAAGCAAATGAAAATTATTTGGCCATTTTCTTCATTAGGTTTACCAGTTTTGCTAAAATCAGTATCTCTACAACACAGTAGTGGTTAACTGCTATGGGCTTTTTAAATATTAGGTTTAGCCAAAATTCTCACTAATTTGTCATTAGTAACTGCTTCAGCTTTCTTTAAAATGTGGTTTAAAGGCTGGGTGTGGTGGTGCACGCCTTTAATCTCAGCACTTAGGAGGCAGAGGCAGGTGGATCTCTGTGAGTTCAAGGCCAACCTGGTCTACATAGTGAGTTCCAGGACAGCTGGGGCTACAGGGAGACCCTGTCTCAAAAAGACAACAAAAAAAGTGGATTAAGTACTCTTTGTAAATGTGTGCCTTCTTTAGTGTTTAACACGTACAAGTTACCAAACTAAAAATTTGGAAAGAGTCCAATTTTTGTTTTAAGACAACAAAATCCTAAGGAAATGAAATAAAGCAACATGGTGGATTATATAGGTTCTTAAGCATGGCACTTCCATCACTGCATTTCACTAAAAACAGAACTTACTGGTACTTTCAATATCAATCCTTTAATTTGTAATTTTATAAAACTCTTTCAGCCACATCCAGTGTGCTGTCTACTCCTCACCTCCGGTTCTTTCATCTGTCATACATTTGATCAACTTACTTGACATATTTATCTCTAGTTTCTAACAATTCCCACTTTGCTAAAGTGAATAAACCTTTCCAGCAACTCACTAGAGTTTCCTGCTGTATGTGAACCTGTTAATGGCCTAAACCTTAAGATAGTTTAGCCCTGTGGCTTTCCTGACTTCCTGGATTTCGTCTTTCCTACACACTGTACCATTTCACAGAAAGACCTTCCAATAACAGCTGTTATCTCTCCTGAACTTTAGGCCTGAATTTAGGCTCCTAAAAATATTGCCCCATGCCACAATCGGTGTACTTGGTATTAAAGTACAATGTGCATACACCAAGATAGTTTTTAACAATGGCTTATAGATGGAGTTATATCTTTTCCTCGTCTTGTACAACTCTTATTTTAAAAGAAGTCACTAATTTACAAGTGTACCAAGATCAATATTCCAAACACTCCAAAAATGAAAAAGAGTGCTAACGCATTGGTTTAAACTCTTTCACAACGCTTAACTGTGATACTACCATGTTGAAGTTCTCTGCTTTTTAAAGGGTCTGTGACTCCAAGAGCAGTTGTGAAGATGAAGTTATAAAGTGACAGACCAGTATCTGTCATATAAAAAACATACTATACATGCTAGATAAAATTGAAAAGTATTCCACTTCCCGCAAAATTCCAGTAATCTGCATAATTATTCTATTCACCAATTAAGAGTAACTGGTCACGCACATCCCCTGGCTCACCTAGTGTAGGCGCTGGCTTTCACTTTACATACCTAACTAGCTCTAGTGGTTTTGGAGGAAAACTGATCATACAGTTTACGCTAGCCCCCGCAAGGTCTTAAATTGCAGGCCAGAGTCAAAGTCCGGGCAAACGTCGCCACTGCGGAGCCGGTAACAGCGCACCTACCAAAACTCAGCAAAGAAACAGTTCACAGTCAAGAATGGTTCTTTAAAAAGCAAGCAATCTACAGGAGCCGGCGGACTGAACAAACACTGAGCACTTTTCACTGGTACTCCAAAGCGGCGGAAGTTCGCTGCCAGGATGGCCACCGCCAGCTCTCTGCATCCCCCACGCCCATGAATCACAGCAGGGCGAGTAGAACCCGGGTAGACGCCCCTGAAACTGGTCGGCGCTAGCGATGTCCACAGAGAGCGAGGGGCGCTAGGGACCCCCAGTTGCGCTCCCCGGCCGGGGAGTGAGGCCCGCGACCGCGAGAGAAGCCGCGGAGGGACCTACTTACCGTCCGCGTTGGCCTCAGGGTTGAAACGCTGCCCACAGCCGCGGTTGTAACACAGCAGCGCCATGCCGGGTTGCAGGTGAGGCAACACGCTGAAGACCAAGACAAGACACCACGAGCACCTGTGTCACGGACCCAGACGCTGGCGTCTTCCGGAAACCGCCGGTTCCGCTTTAGGAATTTTCGCGAACGTTCCGGTTGCACACGCGCAGAAGAAACAGGAAGAGGCGGTGGTAGATTCCGGTCCGGGGTAGATTCCGGTCGGACCCTGGCAGGTAAACGTAGTGGGGCGAACCCGGACAGTTATAGATGAGACACCCATGGGCTGAAGGGGAAAACCTAGCGAGCCCCATGCTTCCGGTTCCCTGTCGCTCCTCTCAGGTGGCCGGTGTTCTGCCGGCACCTAGTCTGGAGCGGTTCCTGGGGGCTACCGAAGCCGGAAGGCCGTGCTGGGCCGAGTCCTCTGCGAACACGCTGACGCTTAAAAAGAGGGATGAGGAGCACTGCATCCTGAGGATCTGTGCTCTTTTGGAATAGTTTTCAGTAACAGCGTTTGCGGCTCAGTCGCTTAACAAATATAAAATGCTTTAAACTAGAATTAACAAAATTATGGCCCAACTGCAATCCTATAATTAATCACAGTTCTAATATTTTAAGTAACCTTTGAAATTTTAAGTTGTTGATTTTATTTTATGTGTATACGTGTTATTCTTCCATATGTGTAAGTGCACCTGTGTCGTGCAGTGCGAGGGGTGGGGGGGTGTGGTGGGGGTGGGATAGAAGACGGTGGGATCCCCAGGAACTGCAATTACGGATGATTGTTAGCTGCCAGGTGGGTATTGGGAATCAAATCTGGGCTTTTTGCAAGATCAGCCAGTGCGCTTAACCACTTACTTATTTCTCCAGCCCCAACAGTTGAAATTTTATAATAGCCGCCACTTAACCTACTATTGAATCAGTCCGTTAGTCTCATCACTAATAGTAAAATTTCAAGTGCTGTATAAAAAGCACATTATTGTATTAATAGACAAGGTACAAATAGCACTGTCTCCCACACATACCTCCTAAATACGAGACTTTTGATTGAATAATCTTGAAATAATATACATAGTTTTTAAGTACAGGTAAAGAGCTATGCAATTTTCCAGTGATCCAAAATTTGCTATTGGAAATCTGTTCACAGTCTTCTCATCCCAATAGTAAAAGGCAAATTTCCATCTTTTTTTATACATACAAATATAAAATTTATATAGAAATGAAACATACATATCCATTTAACCTAGTATAGCTTCGATTTTACTTCATAGTCATTGTTACAAACTATGGAATAGTCTGTTGAATTGTTGAATTTTTTCTTTTTCTTTTTGCTTTTTGAGGGTCTCCCTGTAGCCCCAGCTGCTAGCCTGGAACTCTATGTAGATCAGGTTGGCCTTGAACTCATAGAGATCCTCCTGCCTGGTTGAATTTTGAATTTTGTCATTTCTAGTCTCCTATAATCTCACTAGCTTAATTGTACCTGTCAACGATCTATTGTATATTGTTTTCTTTTTTCTTGGAAGTAGCAATATTTGTGTAAAGGGCACACACCTTTTAAAATAATTTTAAGTTTTTGAAGATAATATGTATCACCAATTACTTTCTAAAAGGTGGTGCCGATTTTCACTTTAGCCATGGATATGTACTATAACTGACCATATAAATTAATCATAGATAATTAGAAATGGAAGAATGAAGAACTTTAAAAAGTTTTCACCATGAGTTCATAATAACGTTGAATATCTTAGTGTCATTGCAAAATTACCAAGATTGTTAGAAGACCTTTAAGTAGTTTTAATGTTAAATGTCATAGTTTTTTCTCCTGTAGCATTTTACTACCAGAAAATAATTGCCTATATTATGTAAATTAAAAAAATGCAGAAACATTAAGAATAAAATTACAAAATAAATAATTCTACCACCTAACAGTAAGCGTAGAATTGTTCAAATAACCAGTAAATTCATTTTAAATGTTCATACTAAGTATAAATATTGATGTTTTGGGGGCTGGAGAGATGGCTCAGTGGTTAAGTGTACTGGTTGCTCTTGCAGAGGACCATAGTTCAGTTTCCACCACCCAGATAGTGGCTAATAACTATCTGTAACTCTAGTTCTAGGGGCTCTGACACCTTCTTCTGGCCTCTGTGGGTCTTGTACACATGGTTTCACTTACATCACTCATATACAGTATACATAAATCAAAATAAATAACATTAATGTTTTTGAAAAGAATAGGGGCAGGGGGATGACTCAGTGGGTAGAGGCACTTGCTCCCAAGCCTGACAACCTGAGTTGAATCCATAAGACTCAAATGAGAGGAGACCACTGACTCCTGAAAGCGGTCCTCTCATCTACACATATGCTCTGTGATTTGCACACATGTCCGCCCCTACACAAACAAGTAAATATAATTTTTTTAATGAAAGAAATAAGAATGGTGTGATAGTATATATAGAAGTTTTTATTCCTCCTCTGGATGTTTTAAGAAAGTATAAAATTTAATCATTCTTGTTATTTTTTAAGTCAGTAAAGAAATAGTGTTTTACACTCCCACCTGCATTTTGACCTATATTCCTCATGCCAATACTAACTTTACTTACTGAGCAACTTTATAATAACATATGTAATTTATACAGATACTAAATCCTGCTTCTCTTCTTTTCAAAGACAGATACAGCAAAGATGTTTTAACTTTGACTATCTTATTTATTATTAACAAAAGTGGAATTGATATTTATTATAATGCTCTCGTTTCCTAATAATAAATTTAAATGAGTGACAATGTCAGATCTACTATAAAATGAATTAAAAATTAAAGTTAGTGGAAGCTTCTTCAATATAGAAATGTTCACTCTGGATTGGATATTTATATTGATTTTTTTTTTGTTTTCTAAGCATACACAGAGTGCTATTTATATATTAATACTTACATATGACTCTGTATGTATACATATATGATTTTAAGTCAGTAAAGAAATAGTGACACCCTCTAGTGATTTTAGGTTTTTTTTTTTTTTTTACCAATCTACCTGTCACCTCCATGAAGGATGATCTCTTTTAATTTCTGTATTTATATGACCTAGAGCAGCATTGCTTAGCAGAATTACAAAAAGATCTACAAATCAGAGGACATATGCAACTTTAACTTTTCAAGTAGCCACACTAAAAACCATAAAAAGAGATAACTGAAATTAATTTAATAATATATTTATCCTAATGTATCTACAATATTATTTAAACATGTAGTCAATATAAAAATTAAAAGATTTCACATCCTTTGTGGTGTCCAAAATTTGGTGTTTTAGACTTTCCAGAATTTTCCAGTGTGGTGTAGCCATATTTTAGTTGCTCAGTAGTCACAAGTGAATACTAGATTACTGACAGAATCAGTTTACCAATCAGTACCTAGTCAATTTTTTGTCAGTACTTTTAAAGTGATTGAGTGAATAAATTCTATTAAACCATTAAAGGATTTCCTTGGACAGACCTGGCACTGTTATCAGGACTATGAACCTGTGGTTAAATAGGTCATAGGTCATAGGGGAGACCCTACTACCATTATTCTTCTAAAGGTAGTATTAAATGATTTCTAATTGTATTAGACAGGGTCCTCCAAAGAAACAGAATGGGTAGAATGAATATATATGTATAAGGATTTATCAGCTTAGCTCATAAGATAGAGTCTGAGTAGTACAATAATGGCTGCACCACACTGGAGAGGCTGAGACTCTGTAGTTGCTCAGTCCATGAGGCTGGATGTCTCAGGAGTCCCAACCTGGTGCTGAAGGTCTGATGAATTCCAAAAGATCAGCTAGTCTTCAGTCTACAGCAGCAAGATGAACTCACCAGCGAGAGAGAAGGCAAACAGCAAAAAGCAAAAAACGTTCTCCTCTGCCATGGCCTTTTATTTGGGCTTCCATCAGAAGGTAACACCCACATTTAGGATGTGTCTTCCAGTTTCAGATGATCCAATTAAGAAGCTCGATCTCATTTCAGTTAATCCCAGATCCAGTCAAGTTGACACCCAGGATTAGCCATGACAAGTCCACCCCTTGTCAACTTGACACCCAATAGCATCTCTCTATGTTATGCTTAATTTTCAAATGAAAACAATGTTGAGGTCATAATTTTGCCTAACATGATATGACTATCCCATCATACAATGATCATTGCATTATATAACTTAGAGTAGGTGATAAGGTCTTTGAGGAATGCTTAGTCCTTTAGTATCTCATAACCCAATATGATCATATAGGTTCACAATACTTAACCACTTAACACTTATCTCAATTACACATTCAAAATAAGAATAACACAAGTATCTGCTTAACATACATGTATACATGCACAAGCCTTTTCTTAACTGAATAGGACAAAAATACTCATGTCAATTGCAATCCACATTTCTGCAACTGGTCACGTGGCCTAAATTGGTATTTGTAAGTACCTTCCTCTACTACCCATTCTGTATTTTCTCCACTATCAGCAAGCACCTCTGCAGATCTTGGCTCTTTCCATGGAGGAGTCACACATACTTTCATCCCTGAGGGGTCTGGGCCATTTGTTGTCCTGTCTGAATTGGGTTGTTGCAGTTTCCCATTGACCTTAATCACAGGACATGGTAGCACCAAAAGTCGCCCTAAGGAATCTCCTGCCTTCCAGGTATAATCTTCATTACCTTCCATTATGGAGAACCAGTCCAATTTCCCCCTGGTAGTCTGGTTCAATCACCCCTCCCAATACTGTTATTCCTTTCTTAGCCTGCTGACGTAAGGGCATCAGAAGCCCAAAGTGGCCAGGGGGAAGTCTTAGCTTCCAGTTCAATGAAATATTTATTCTGTCTCCTGGCAGAAGCACTCCCTCCTCTGGAACCAAAACTTAAAAGCCAGCAGAGTGCAAAGTTGAGGGTACAGGAAGCAAAAATTTTTCTAGTGGGTCATAAGTGGTGATAGTGAGTGGAATCATTCCCACTTCCACCCCTTGATTCCTGGACCTGTGAATCCTGGCTATAGGAGAAACTGTACCATATATTAGATGCTGATTCAAAGCATACGCTACCTTCTGGAGGACCCTGCCCCAGCTGTCCAGGCTATTGCCACCTAATTGGCACTGTAACTGTGTCTTTAAGAGGCCATTCCATTGTTCTATTGAGCCAGATGCTTCAAGATGGTGGGGAACATGGTAAGACC